GATATTTCGACGGGAACCAAAGTTTGTCGGGAGAAACTTCAAGGAAACTGTTAGATACAAATCACTTGGAATTATCTTGCGTCACTTGCAGACTGTTTAAACTTTTGTTCCACGCGTCATGTCAAGAGAAGAAATTAATATCGAATATACATTAAACATAATAATATGTTTCTAATTTTCGATTTGCGAGCAAACTTAAAGATGCAGCGGTTGCGCAAGTTGCGGTTGGAACTCTTGGAGTAACATCCAGTTTCCCAACTTTGTTTTCTTGACATATGATACTTCTTGGTCTTCACTTCCCATTTTTGGTGTATTTTCAGATATTTTTCGAGATTTTGGTACATTTGAATACAGTTTATGATTTTTTGCAAAAACCTCAACGAACGTCTATGGATTTGATATAAATGCAGTTTTTTTTTTAATTTTTTATTTAAAACTTTTCCTATCGATTAATTGAATTGAATTTGTATTTAAAACATAGACAAACAAAATAAGTTTCAATTAATTTAATTAATGATTAGTAAATATGCATTTTAGAAAGTTAATTTTGACACCCTGTATAAGTTGATAGTGATAAAGGAAAATCCTATTATTTTAGCCAAAAGAAAATATGGTTAACGGATTGATCTACTTTCTGCAACATCATACAGCATCTATTTAAGATAGCAATAATATAACTAACTAACCTAACCGTCTAATGCCTAATGGTCAAGCGTCGTGACCTACTTTTAACCTTTCGTCGGTACGCATCAAAAACTAGTCCCGAACTCCAGGAACCACCGCAAAGCGGCATTCTTATGGTTTCGTCTCCCGCCCGTTAAAAGAAATAATGTAAACATAGCCTTCTATAATTGCATGCGGAAATAACAAACAAAGAAAAACTGTGCTGGCAAAAACTAAAAGGATTTGATATTTTATCTACATATTAAGAGGATTTTTATAAATAAAAAAATTTATGATCAGAGCGTGGATTCATTTTAAAACTCTGGTTGCAATACTTCGAGTTCATAAGATTAACCAAAGATGTCAGATTTCAAGTGATTTTGGTGTTTCATTGTTTGTAGTTTTAATAAATTATGAAGGTCCCTTGTCCAATCGATATAAACATTGTATTATTGGCAAAATTTTAGCAACGCTCGTAACACAATATTCAAAATGTATTGCCGGTAACGTTAACCAGTTAACAAACTGAACCAGAGAACAAAGTTTGGTTTCCAAGGTAAACAGAATGAAGTACTTACATCCATCCATTGTTGACCTTTGCGCAAGAAAACAGAAACTTTAAAACCACTGCCCGAGCAAGCGGTTATAATAACTTGACCTGGAATATAACACGGTATAACAAATTTGTCATGAATAATTTAGAAATATTTTTTCGAATGAAAATAGCGTGATACCATTATACAATTATAAATTGTCACCCCAGCTAAAAAAGTTGTTTAGGTATTGTCCGAAACAAATGAATATCATGTTTTATTCTTAGTGATTATAAATTTGGCTTAAAAAAGTTAAATATTTCTTTAATAATTGAAAGGTGAGGTGTAACTTTAAACATGTTTATTAAAGCAGGCTCTTGTTTTGATCACAAAATTCAACAATTCTATTAATTTTTTTATACTATATGTTTATATATTTTATGTTTATATGTTATATTTTATGTTATATGTATGTTTAGCATAATCTAATAATTTAACTTCTCCAAAAGCTTTAAATTTCTCCACAGAATGTGGCGCCCCATAACATGAATAGTTTTATGAAATATAATTTCTGGTAAAGCTAGACTTGTGTCAATTAGATTTGTATTTAAAAAAAATATATGAAATCGGAGGAGTTTAAAATTTACTGCTAGAAAAAAATGTATTTATCAATAAACCGAAATTGCAGCCGTACATTTTACCACGGAAAAAGCCGAAATCCCTTTTACGGTCGAGACCTGCAACAAAATAAGGAGCATTAAAAGAAAATTACGCGGAGTTCACGAACTAGAGGAAATATAAATAACCTTTTATTGTTGGGGACGTGAATTTTCATGGCAACGCGAAAATATTGTCGAATAACGCTAAAGCTTATTTATATTGTTATAGTTATTTGAGAGCTATTTTATCAGGATTGTCCATGTTAAAACAACTTACCTCGGGGAATAATTTATTGCAAAAAAAAAAATTAGAATTCCAAACAAAACGGCGGTTTTTGTTGTAGATTTCAATAATATTTATGTATTTTAGGACTTTTATTGCAAATATCATAATTTTTAGTTGTTGTTTCATATACTTTAAGACAAAGAAAAATAGTATAATTAATAAAATTATTCTAGATTTAGCGGACTATCACTATGGTTCTCCAAATGCCATTTAGATATTTCTTGACATAACCTTCATTCCCATTTTTGCCAGCGACTAAAGTCAAATTTAACTTAAAGTATGAGTTTTATCAATATTGGTACATGAAAGTTTGTTGTGTTCTCTGGATTTTTTAACTAATAATATTATTTTCGCTTTATAAAAGACTTTACTTCATTCAATCAATTAACACTAGAGGGAATCCCATATGCTCTACAGTGGGTCATAAATAAACTTTTTTTTTTAATATCGGGATACTAAATCAAAATTAATTAATTGATTAATTAATTAATTATTGTCCACTTATTATTAATTAATTTGATATTTGAATTACATTCTCATAAATGATGCGCGATTTATTGTTTTTTTTTTGATTTTTGAATAATTCATTCATAATGATAGTGACTGATTTCACCCTCCAGTTTCTCGGGTTTTTGTTTTTGGAATAGCCTCATTCACGCTTTGCTTGATAAGTCATTGAAATAAAAGAAAGTGTAAAGAATATGTTAATAGTAGTTCTCATACTAGCCTCATCTTGTCGTCGTTCCTATCACAGCAGGACTGCTTAAAATCGATTACAGTTTTGTATGCTAATTTTGGCTGTGTCATACTAAATGTATTTTATATCAAAGTTAAAAGAAAATGATAAAGAAATATTTGATTTTTTACTGCGCTTTTTCACATGGGTATTGAAGCCAAAAATCTCGATGGCTTTGGTGGTTTCAAATATTATTTTTCGTTCGCCTTCGTAAAAGAGTATCGTCCCAGTGAAAATTTATTGAGCGCGCTACCGGTTGGGTATATAAAAGTTTCAAGAGGAACCGCATTGTTCACAGAAAAACGCTAGGTAAATGAAAGTTTCATATGCCGCCTACTTTAGTTTTCTGGACAACTGAAACCGATCGAGAAAAGAAAGCGATTTTACCAGTCCAGGCACGTGCAGTTTCGAGCATCAATGCCGGAAAATCGTCCAGGGCGAAATGGAATTCGTTAATAACATGTCTACTATTATACTTACACTTTTTTTTTGTTTGAACTATATACCTTTCCCGGTCAGTTATACAGTTAACTACTCTTGATTACGATTTTATTTACTTTCAAACTCCGTGCTTTTATTTTGTGCTGTAATGAGCAATGCAGCTTATATTTTATATTTATATTACATATTTTATTTTCTATAATAAATCAATCAATCAATCCTCCTGTGACTGGCAAATTGACAGCGATATTAAAAATTCCCACAAAACTGCGTTGAGTTGAATACGTTGGATTATAGGGAACAGGTAAAATCACTCATCTTGGGAAATTTATTTTTTTCCTTTCCTTCTTAAGCGATATAGACTAATTATTCTTAGAATTATTTTTTTAAGTGCTTTTTGTTTGGAAAATTAATACTTAAATATTCAAATAGCGTCGGGACCAGCGCCGCGAAAATTTTCTATATTAGGGGATGCCAAAGGACGCCCAAACCCACGCGATTTCGGACAGGTTGACGCTTCACTGAAATTTAATTTGGTTAGTTTGTGCTCCTTTCTTAGTTCCAGACTCGGATTCAGATAAACCAGTTTTATTTGCAATCGGTTTTAGCCGATAATATACAAAATTGAAAAAAAAATAGCTGTAATGGAATCAGCTTGCTTTATTCTTCAACTTATTTTTATAAAATTAACTAACTCTAAACTCTAAAATGAAATATTATACTTTCAATAACATTTAGTTTTAATACCACAGGGATGTTTTTCCTTTTTTGTCTAAAACCAGAAAGTCTCTCAATAGTTAATAAAAAATTAAAATTACTTAATGTATTTCTGAATATTAACATTTTAGTCAAATCTTTTAGGTACTTATCAATTCGTAACTTGAATTTTGTCCCGTCTGTCTGAATTTTATTTGATTTAATATGTTTACTAATATCTAAAACCTTATTAACTGTAAAACATAACTGTCAAAATGGTCTTGCTCGGAGCGGTAATTTTCATTACAAGGTAAGGTATTTTATACGTTTCTATAAAGCTTACACAGCCCTCGTTTGATTGTTTTATTATATAAAATTAACAACACATTTTTTATTATAGTTTATATTTTATTATCACAGCTTTTATTATTAATATTATTGCAATTATTTTTTCGTAATATTTTTTCAAGTAACATGTATAATAATTTTCTCAAATAACTTTTTAACAAAGGGACGTGGAGAGCTAAAATTAGAAAAAATTAGCAAGAATATAACAATAAAAGCAAAACATAATGAAAATTTTACTATACAGAAATTTTTGTTTCTGTCATAAAAGAGCAAAAGTTGCCGATGAAAAGAGAGAGAGAGCTACAGTAATACAAAACCATTCAAAATTTTGTATTAAGGTAATACAATAGCTTGAAACCTTCTAATTTGAACTAGTCACATTATAATCAATTGAATTGAATCAGGTGAATATTTGTAAATTAAAGACAGAAAAATTGTTGATCTTTTTAGAATAATGTACAAAATACTGAAAACGCGAGCTGGAGTTATTAATTATTAAGTATTAATAATAATATTTAATAGTTTACTATTCCAAATGTCGTATATATCGCCAAAAAATGAAAATATAAAAAATTGGATAAATTACTTTAATCGAAGAACTGGCAATTTTCCTAATTTAGTATATATTATCATTGCAGATATACAAGAATTTTACGAACTCACTCTTCTAGACGAGAACAAATCGGTTCAAGAAAAAACCGCCGAAACCATTAGAATAGCAAACAAATGGGAATCGAACGATGGTCCTATCATTCCTTCGTTTGCCAACAATGGGGTAAGTTTATCGGTTTGAGTTAGAAGCGATTTTTTTTGGTTCATACGCGTTTCGAAATTAATACATTTGTATGTGACTGAAGTAAGGCGAAAATTTACGAGGATATCGCAATCGTATATATCGAAACGAATCAACGAAAATTACCAAATGTAGTCACATTCGCTGCCGAGACTCGTATTGGTCCGAACTGGTTTTAAAATCGAAGATTACGATTCAGAACGCTTTTTTTGCAATGCGAATTAGGAATATAAAATTTTTTAGTGGTTTTTATACCATATATTTCGCAAATATAGGAAACTGATTAAGGTGCCGCTCTTGAAATGCTGGTAAATTATTATTAGCTACTAGAACTATAGAGTGAATGTGTCAATAAAACAGAAACTTATGAAGCAACAACAATAAAGCAGAAATGTAGAGGCATTCCCACGAAAATGTCAATGCATCCTGCTGCGCATCAATTTTTACCGTATTATGTTATCTAATAGGGCAAAAAGTCAATCGATCGAAGTAAATTTCGAGAACTTAACTTGATACGTGGAAAGTTTCCCCATATATTTTTGCATTTTAACTATAGGGTTGTTCATAAATGTTTTTTGTGATTTTTAAAAATCTCCAAGGAATATGCCAGTGTAATATTTTGTTCCATGACGTCAAATACGTGCTTTAACATATTTTTTCCAGAATCATACAAGAAATCCTCAAAAGTACTTACCTGACCATGACAAAATTATTGACATTAATTTATGGTTTTTTATTTAATAATGCAGAATTAAGAGAAAGTTGAATCAATTAATGATCCTTTAGTATCATTTTTCAGAATTTTTTTTTGTTTGATGGGCAATTTAATTCAAACTGAGATTACAAATATCAAGTTTCGAAATATTTTCGTCAAATGTTATCTATATACACAGTTCGTTCTTTATTACGCCATTTAATGTTGCTTAGTACTGATAGATATCTTAAAGAGAAACATAATGGCGATTATACAGAAGTGGGCTACTTGCCTCTCGTGTTTCATTGTTCTAGGTGTACAAAAATATTATATTAAGCAAATTAAGGGCAAGTAGTGATCTCTGGGCTTTTTTACTAAGTTACAGTGCACCGATTGATTTTTGTAATTCACTACGTACTCCTTAAAAAATATTTTTTTAATTAGGATAATGGAAAACGAATATTTTACTTGCACCTGTTTCTTTTATTTGCTAAAAATGATTATTAATAGTTTTAGAACCACGTGATAAATCGACTCTGACGATCATGCGAACGAGGATAAAGCACCTATTGCAAACCCTTATTTAATATTTCTTCTTCTTTCTTCTTCGGAGATTCAAGCACACTATTTGCCAAAACAGTGTTTATCTGGTAGAACCTAAGATTTATAATAGTTTACTTATTTCAATTAGATCTAAGCCTTGCTACAAATGCAAAAAACAAAAATAAAAATCAGGTAGAATATTGAGCGTCATGATAAACTCTTTTTTTAACATATTAGTAAAATTTCTGTTTTTATTTTGAATTTATATTCACCCATTTCTTGTTTATCATAACTCTACATAACAGGCGTGAAGCTCAGCTAACAGGTAGCAACGTAGAACAGTAAAAATGAGTAAAATAAGTTAATAAATTGAGGCTAATACTTAATGATAATTATAAAAAATATTACTTAGGGGCAATTAATAATTAGCAGTAAAAAAAGAAATGGAAGAAAAAAGTAAATGAAAATAAAAAATATATCAAAAATTTATTTTTATTAATTTTTCGTCAAGCAACGAGAAAGAAGTTGAAAATAAGAGCTTATCATTTAATTTGTCAGCGTTATAAATACGCACCAGATGAAAAATTTGAAAAAAATTTGAAGTCAAGGTGCATTATTTTTATAAAATTTCCACTAAAAAAAAAGTTTTATTTGTAAGAACAAAATGTAATTTGCTCTAATTGTAACTGTTACTGTATTTTAACGAACTTTGTGTTAAAATGTTTAGTGTGAATCTTTTATATGTCATAATGGCGATACTGGATATAAGTGAGTGGTGATACCTATTAAATCAAATATATTGAAAACAGTGACGAATTTAAATGTCCATGGATTAAATACAAGATCAATTGGGAAGTAGTGTTTTGAATTTTGAATGGTGTTGTGATTTATTAAGACACACGATTATTCTCAGTGCATCTCATTATATTACATAAATTACGTACTATGTACAATCACGGTATAAATCAGTGGTACACTGATGTAGAATAAGCTAACGGAGATGCCAATTTGGCAACTGGGGCGGCTCCATACGAGTACGTTGGCGCAGCATAAGCCAATTGGGCAGGTGCAGAGTATGCTAGAGGTGCTGCTACTTTAGCTACTGGAGCGGCATAGGCAACTGGGGCAGAGTAAGCTACTGGAGCGGCAACTTTAGCTACAGGAGCGGCGTAGGCAAACGGAGCAGAGTAGGCGACAGGGGCAGCTACTTTAGCAACTGGGGCGGCGTAGGCGACGGGGGCAGAATAGGCGACTGGAGCGGCAACTTTAGCTACGGGAGCGGCGTAGGCAACTGGGGCAGAGTAGGCGACTGGAGCAGCGACCTTAGCTACGGCCGGTGCGGCGACTATGGCCTTCGCTAATGGTTCTTTGTGGACTACAGCGTTGAATCCGTGAAGAGGGTCAGCAGTGTATTCAACGGTTCTCTTGGTACCATCGGGATCGACGACTGAATAAGCTCCTTGCACTACATCTCCGTTACGGCTTTCTACCTAAAATAAAGGCAGTTGTCGGTAAAATATAATATATTATTCATTAATAGTTGCAATTATTTGCATTGGGGAACTTTGCGAGTAGGGACTTATCGGTTAGAAGTACCTGGCTTTTGCTGTCTCCAGTTAAACCGTCTTGTACATCATATCCGTACGAGTATTGGGGGTTGTGGTCGTAGTCTTCGGCTACGACGGCTTTGGCTACCGGAGCAGCGTAGGCTACTGGAGCTGCAGCGTATTGTGCGGCGGGCACTAATCCAGCTTGGGTAGCGGCTACGAAAGCAGCGAGAAGAAACAGCTTTGGAAAGAAAAAAATGATTACCTATGTTTGAAATAATATCTTTATGTTTAAAAACAATTTAATATAATTTGACCAGTGTTTTCTTTTTTGGATATTAACGAAAAAGAGTCTGGTTAATTGTTAGCAAAAATTCTGTCTTGTCATTGTCTTGTCATATATGTTTTTGTCCAAGTCCGAATTATAACCAATTTACCTGACAATCTTTTACATGAGTGTTTTAGCTTTTGGATAAAAACAAAAAAGGGTTGGGTTAATAGGGAAAGCCTGTCATATATTTGTTTTTATCAATGTCCAAATTGGAACCAATTTACCAAGTCTCTCGGTTAATGAATCTTTTCCAAAAAATTTTTTTGAAATCATTTTTCCTAATTAGAAATGTTTGTTTAATCATAAAAAATGAAATGTTTCACAAAGGGTTAGCATTCACTTAACAAATTAACTGATTTAACATTTTTAACGGTTAATTCTACCCCTAGCCTAACACAACAGCCTGAAACTTGTGGGAAAAAAAAAATTTAGAAAATAATTGGACAGAAGACTGTGCCAAACTTTTTATAAAAAAATCCTCCTTTTTTTTTTGACAATTTTAAATTTGTTTTGCAAAAAAGTATCGAAAAATAATTTACACAGTTAAAGACTAAGAACGTGCAAGACACTCACCTTGAATGCCATGTTGTTTATCTGCACCGAATGTGTGGACAAGAGTGTGCTTTTTCGACGATTTGGGCGCCTTTTATACAGACCAACACAAAATTAAATCATCCGGTTTTTGCAGATCGATTGACAACTGAATCGGGCTCGAAAATTTCGAAAGGACCGCGGTTGGTGTAGGGTCACGACTAGTGATCTTTCATTGCCAATAACTTTTGCTTTGCTTCTTTGTTCGCTGTGGGTATGGTTTTTATGGCGATAAACTGCGTGGTTAATGGATCTACGGCGATGCATTTTAAGCACACATTTATAGATTTTATTTTTAAATAGAATAAAACTCATTTTGAGGATCTTAAGGATAAGTGTTTTTATAATAAGCAACTTAAGGATGCTAAAATGATTCGAGCTGTTTTCTTTCCCACATAGAAGACAAAATTTAATTAATGTGTCGGCTCCAAAAATTTAGCCTGAAATTTAAATTGATTGTAATTACTTTGTATTTAAAAAAATATATTCGAAATAGGCTATTTTACATTAGTATGTGGATAAAATTAAAGAATTGTTCTCCAAATATGTAAAATGTGAAAAAAAAGCTAAAAAGTGAATTTTATATAAGTTCTATTTTCTTATTATCGTTTTAATGAAGTGTATTTTTTAGAAATAACAAGCTCCATTAGACGCATTAATCGCAAATAATAGAGAGGTTTTAATTTAATACCAAAATTTATCAACTTATCAAACTTTTCTTTGGTAATCAACTTATGCAAAACTTTAGCAATTTCCCATAATTTGGCAAACTTTATTTTAAAGGTTGCCAAAAAGTTTCTAAAGAGGATTATGCGAGTCAACGTTGTCATTGTGGATTATTATTTGAACGGGACTTAATGTTTGTATTTATATAAAATAATGATTTGAGTTGATTTGCCTCTGCAACAAGATTTTAATATAAAAGAAGAATGTGTAAAAAATATCATAGCATCCTCTATCCTTTGTTTTCTTTTAAAGCAAACGCTTCTTGATGGATTCACACAAGTTTCAATTTATTGTCAGTTTTTTCATACCTATAGCAGTTTTTGGAATATTTAAATGTTTAACAAAGCAATGGAAAGGCTGTGCTGTGATTTATATTTTAATTTTGGTTTTTGATTTCAGTAACATTTCGTATCACTTTAAAGTTGTAGGATGATGTATTTGTTCTATTACCTTTTTTATATTTTTCTTTAACACTCAGTGTGGAATGGCCATGCGGAGCCTTATGTAAACTTGAAAAATATGCCCCTAAATTTTTGATAATCTTTTAAATTCTGAAATTATGTTAGCATTAACCAAACAAATGAACAAACTATAAAACGATCTGTGTTATATTTTTGTAGCGTTAAGTGCAGACTATTCACCCTGCAATCAAAAAAATTTATCTCAAGTACATGGGGAAGGTCGTCTGCTGCTCTGAGATTACGTGAACTCGTAAAATGTGCGTTCCAAATTTTGCCAACCGACGCAACTTGCTTGCGTGAATGGTAACGTAATAACTAGACCGCGTTCTTTGGTGAAGGTATTTTGCAATTTAAAAAGTTTCAATGGCTCTATAACATCGAGTGGACTCGACAATTATAATTAGGGAATTTAATTTAAAGAAGAGCAAGCTGGCTTTGTTTATTCCAGTCAGAGCACTTTTTCAATGACGTCACGTATGACGTAATCAAAAATGATCCGTATGTCTTAGATATTTTGCTACGATTTTTAGAAAACTGATGAATTAGATAAAAATATCATGCTATGACGTAACTGCACAATTGCTCTGACTGGACTTTAACATGTTTAAACATTTTCATGTTTGGCGATCCAATACAATTTCAGAATATAGCTGTATTTTTTATATCCTATTATATACATGGAATATGGTTACACAAACGGCGTTGTGCGATAATAATATCGATAAAGTAAGTAATTCTGTTTATATTGTAGTGTACTAGGCCACAAATGAATTTACTATTTATTAACCAACTTTTTAAAATGAGACACGCAGTAGTTTTGCATATATCTGTTATTCTTAGAAGTAACCAAAATTTTGCTTTAAACCGAAAAGAAAACTATTTCACTGACAATGAATACACTAAGAATGATTTTAAGATTGCACGGAAAAATTCGAAAAATATATTTAGAAAATATTTATGCGATTAAAATGTCAATTATTTAAAAAAAAGTTTCCCATTGTCCATTTGTCGTAAATATCTAGTCCTAAAAAATTTTTTTTGGTTTTCAATTTATTTTCCTTTATTTCTTGATGGAAATGTAAAAGGACCGGACTTCTGGGCATAAATAAACAAAATTACACCGCTGTATTAAAAAATATGATTAGCTACAAACGCCCAAAACAGAGACGTGAAACGTAATTTTAGTAATGGCACATTTTCAAAATGATATTTTTCCAGATATCGACATCATTAAAAAAAAACAGTTGGCTGATGCCGCACTGAGTTTAATTAAAATCACCCCGTTGGCAGCTTTGAGGCAGACGTTCTGCTCTGGAGTTTAATTGGTGATCTGTTGGGGTCTATTTCAAAAACGTTGTTAGCCTCTGTCAATTGGCTCAGAGAGTATGACAAAAAAAAGTATTATTGATTATTATTATTATTATTATTATTTGTACCAGTCAATTACCATTTTCTACTAAGCTAATTATACATACTCTATTATTGCAAGAAAATTGTTTTTGAAAATTACCCATTTTTTAACACAATGGAATAAAATAATTTATTGATCTTTGTTGCAACTTAGTCCATATATACAAACCAACACCTATAAACAGGTAGAACAAAACAACAAAAGAATAAATTTTTAACAATACAATTGTGTAAGGCATATTATACGGGATTTGGATAAACTGACAATATTTGACGTGCTATATACACGTTAAGTAAATAAAATTAGTTTTAGATAAAATATTTTTGCAATTTGTTCCTAAACATGCTTCTGTACCATATCGTGCAAATCAAACGGCTTTGATCTATTTTTTTAACATTGCCAATTAGCAATACGCTATACCGGGTGACACAAGAAAGTGGGAACACTCTATAACTTTTAAACTGCTTAAGATAGCGATTTGAAATTTGGTAGGGTTAATACAGGTTGAATGTCCAATTTTTTGACAATATGTAGTCAATGGTTGCACTTCCGGTTTGAGCGGAAACGACAGTAACTTTCGAATTTTAAATGTCACAACTTATATTTTTTGCATTTTTGGATACAAGAGATCATTCTACGTAGGATAGGATTTGTTTCCTCTTTTTTTTGTTTTTTTTTTAATTTTTATTTAATTTTTGAAAATTGTGTCTAACAGGCTGTGAGCATCATAAAAACGATTTACTGAGTCACCTGATCATTTGAAAAATTATTAATGAAACTTTTCTTCACTTGTTTAATGGCAAATAGCATTTAATGTAATGAACTATTTATTTTTTAGGATTTTGAAAATTGTGTTGTCAAAATGTTGCAAAAAAAGTACCGGTTTTATAAAGTTTTTGTTCCCATTAGAATGCTGTTTGAAAAAACTAGGTTGTCCAAAAAAATTAATAGCATATTACATTAAATAATATTACGTTAATAATATAAACAGTGACCTACGTGCTCTCAGTGATATTTCTAGTAAGCACGGTCTGTTACTTAACGAAAATAAGACGCAACTCATAATTTTTGGTAAAGATAAAGGAAAAATAATTAGTCTAGACGCTGCCAAAATTTACTTAAATGACCTTCTCTTACGGCCGATTGCCGAATGCAAAAATCTGGATCTGCATTTGGATAATAATCTGCGTTGTGAAGGTCACGTAGCATCATTGATCCAGAAATCGTTTTACAAGCTTGGGATTCTCTACTGTAATAAAGATATTCTGGACACAGCAATTAAGTTAAAACTTACCGATTCCTTAATTCTCTCCGCACTTTCATACTGTATGGTAGTTTACTGGCCTGCCCTACTTCAAAAGGACAAGGTTAGTCTTCAGCGTCTTCAGAATGTCTGTCTTAGATTCTCATACAATATTCGTAAATTTGATCATATATCTACCAGCCTAGAGGATTCTCGCTGGCTAACATTAGACGAACGTTTTAAGTCGCAGCTTTTAGTCTTAATTAAAAAGTAATATCTCTCCAACGTCCGACGTATCTTTTTGACAAACTTACTCGTGGATCAGATACTCATTCGGTTAATTCTCGCCATAGGAGGCTGTTTAACGTGACCAAACAAATACTTCAGCACAGTTTCAGCGCAGTTTCACGTACAATGCTATCACGGCTTACAACAAACTTCCTCTCCAACTGAGATGAATCACCTCACTAATTTCATTCAAACAAAAACTTAAGCAATACATTTATCATAATAGAGACCTATCATAAAACTAGTAACTATCAAATTGTATATATGTATTTATTTTTTGAATTCACTCAAGCAGTGTCTACCATTTTGAATGAATGTCTATATAATGTATATGCTATATTTTATTTTGTGTCATATACTCGTTTTAGGGGGATGCCTGAGAGCAACTATGTTAGACAAGTAAAGAAAAGTTTCATTTACAATTTTTCTCATGATCAAGTGACCCGGTAAATAGTATTTATGATGGTCATAGCTTCCCAGAAACAATTTTAAAAAATTAAATAAAAATTTACAAAAACAACAAAAAAAAAAGAAAAAACCGTCCTATCCTACGTAGAATGATTTCCTGAATCCAAAAATTCAGAAGAATATAGGTTGTCAAATTTAAAATTCGAAAGTTACTGTCGTTTCCGCTCAAACTGGAAGTGCATCCATTGACTACATATTGTCAAAAAATTGGACATTCCCCCTATATCAACCCTTCCAAATCGCTATCTCAAGCCGCTTAAAACTTCTAAAGTGTTCTCACTTTTCTGTGTCACTGGATATATGGGTATTATGCTTTTAATTTGAAAACTGTTTGCAAAGCTAGATTGATTTATATTTTGTTAATCCCATTATTAGCACCAACATTAAAATTCGATATAATTTTGGGTGGGCGTCGTCGTCAGTGCACCCACGAAAAGTTCAAATCAATTTTATTCAAGGTATTGCTACTTATTGGGTAAGCGGAAGTCTACACAGTAAACTGGATAATCCTGCTAGTAATTTATTTTTTTAGGCAATAACCGCAAGGTATTGTTATTTCACGTACTGCTTACCGACTGCTAATAAAACAATATCAATTTCTTAAATACAAAATATAATAAATAAAAATAAATATAAATTTCTTTTATACCTAGTTGAAAAATATTGTTTTGGGGCTGCTCTCCAAGAAGATGGCGTATGTTAATAAAATATTTTTTAAAATTTGGTTTCGAAATATATCATGTATTTGCAAAAAGTTCGAATTTGCTATTAAAATTCTTGCACCTAATGCCCGCATTCTGCTAATTGTTACACAGCTAACACATTTAATATTGAAAATAGTATAACATAAATAAATAATTTTTTATAAATTGAAAGCTATGCATAAATAAAACTATTAAATCAGTATGTCCTTTCAAGAAGTTTTAAAGTTCTTTTTCATTATGCTATCGAATATGAATTACATCTTCATTAATACTGGCCAGGTATGCCACATGAGAATTTTTCTGATATAGCCATAGATATGGGGAAATGTAAATATTTTCAGCAATTTCTCTTAATTTATTTTCTTAACACGATTTTTTCTCTTTTCTATAATTATTGGTTCCGTCTACTCACACAATATTCATATTGAAAGAAGTTAAATTAAAAGTGAAAAATTTTCTATAACAGTTGGTTCCGAAATATTATTTTATACAGTATTGGTAACTAATATGCATATATTTTTCAGCTCAATTAATTCACGGGTCGAATAGTAAAACTTAAGTAATTAACTACGCTTGTCATTTTCCGCTTTGTAAGCAATGTTCCCTTTTGTTGGGATTTTCAATTTTTGCTAATAAAATTTGTAAGGTACTGCTAAAAATTAGAAAATTTTAAAGACTTTTTGCATATTCCGAAACTTATGTTTTAGGTAAATAGCTCGAAAAACTTTTTTCCATGCAAACTTTTACGAGTTGCGAGTTGGCCATGCCAGTCTCTGAATTTTAAATATTTCTAATGTGCCCAAAACATTTATCGAATATCATCAACAACTTTAATGCACACACTGTGTAATTACATTCTCCGGAAAAATCATATTTGTTTTTTTAGCATCATACTTCATCATCATACTTGGACAAAACTAAATGCTTTTTTTTATTTCACTTTTCTATGTGCGTATCATAGGTTATAATTATTTTCCTCAAGCATATTTTAAAAAAGGGAACTAGATCGAAGTTAACTAACAAAAAGAGCAAAGAAACCGCAAAATTATTGCAGAACTGTATTTTAAAAAAATAAATAACATTACACATTTGTACAAATATAGTCAGTCGGAATTTAATGATATACGTGAGACGCTAGAGGGGCAGAATATGCGTGAACTGCGGGCGCCACTGGAGACGCGTAGGCTACGGGTGCGTGGACCGCATGCGCCACGGGCGCTGCGTACGCCACTGGTGTTGCTAATTTTGCTACGGCCGGGGCTGCTACTACCGCCTTAGCGACGAGAGGTTCCTTGTGTACGACAGCGTTGAAGCCGTTAACAGGGTCCGCGGTATATTCGACGGTTCTTTTGGTGCCATCAGGGTCCACCACAGAGTAGGCTCCCTGAACGCTATCACCGTTGCGACTCTCGAACTAAAAATAAAATAAAATATTGTGTCGTTACAAACATTCAAACAAAAAAATCAAAATTAGGAAATATAACAAAACTAGAAATCGCGCAGAATTTATTCGACGTTTCGGAAAGTGTCAAGTTTTTGGGCGCTTTTGTTGATGCAAATTTGGACTGGACATTTCATATAAATCACTTACTAAACAAACTAAATTCAATATGTTATGGAATTAGAGTTCTTGGCAAGTATTTAGATAATAAAACCTTAAAAATAGTTTATTTTGGAAACTTCGAACCTGTACTTAAATATAATATTCTGGGGGCGTCACATCACAGAAAAAAACAATTAGAGTGTTTATGAAAATGGACAGAATTCAATCGTGTCGAAATGTCTTTAGAGAGATGGACGTAGAAATTTAAACCTTTTTCACCATATAGAGAACCCAGGGCGGATAGTTTTAACTACCCGTTACACCTCCTTCAGATTACTGAAACAGGCTTGGAATATATGTGTGTTAAGCTTTACAATAAGTTACCACTGCATATTAAACGGATTGAGAGTCAACGTTTGTTCAAGACGAAAATTAAACAGTTGTTAATCCAGTTAGAACCTTATTGTCTTAATGACTACCTTAATATGTAATATGTAATAGGATACTTAATTTATTTGTCACAGACTTATGTTTGACGTCATTTCACTTTGTTATAATATGTAACAAATTTGAAATAAATATTATTCAAAGTCTAATTTAATTGAGGGTTAATGAATGATGATAATCAATAATAAAAAATACCTAGTTTCAATGTTAAAAGGTTAAAGAATTGTGCAGTACATAGCACTCGTCATCAGCATATCCATATTACAATACAAGAAAAAGATGTTTCATTATTAGCTTGCACAGAGGAATGAGGAATATCCCTTCAATATATAACAAATTGCTCAAACGATTTTCTGGATCGAATACTTCCGGTTACCAATTTAAATAGAGCCAGGTGACCGTACAAAGGTCTCTTTTATGGATATTACAGACCCTGTTACGACGGTGCACAGCAAACTGACGTTCGATATTCAATCTCCTTTACTTTTAGTATTAACTCTATGAACTAAATTCGGTGTTGTGCTTATGTGAAAAGCTTACAGCTACATCGTGCAACAAAGAGATTAAACTTTTCCTGGACTTTATAGTGGAAAATCTTCATGTTCGAGAACAGAGTCTCTGGCGAGATTAATGGTGTGTTGTCTCAGATTTCCACAGATTATAAGGAAAGGTGTGGTGTATAAAATTGGATACCCAGAACTTGTGAGGTAAACATTAATATACTTAAATGTTTAACTTTATTTAACGAGGTATTATTTATAAAATTATTTAATTTAATTATTTAATATGGATGTAGTTAAAACAGCGGTTTTTAAATTTTATTAAACAGCAATCGGAAGTATTTTCGGGAGCTGATCGTAAATTTAGGTAAATTAATTGGTTTCGATTTGATTTTAACGGTCGAAGTGGTTTCGTCGAACAAAAAACCAACAAACAACCTTGGGCGTGGCAAGGTTGCCAATTACGATTTCTCATCGTACTACATATAAAAAAACGCGGTCCCGGAACCTAGCCGTCCTTTTGGTCAATAACCACATTGGTTTTGCAAGTGAAATATATTTTCGAGTTGAAAAAATCATTAAGCGTCATGATTTCTACCTAAATTAATGGATTACATTTATGTAACTGGAGGCAATATTCTATTATATATACCATATAATTAAACAAAATAAACTTACTTTGAATTTTACCAATTCATCATTTAATTACTGTCAGACCACGCTTCCTGTTTGTATCTTAATAAAATGATTTTAATATAATTCCAATTTTAATCGATTACCTCTCTTTTTAATTTTACACCTGTAAAATTAACTACTGTAATTATTGGAGTTGTTAAGTCTAAGAATGTTAGTAGATAGGGATCAATTATAACTTCAACTACCTGACTCTTGCTGTCTCCGGTTAAGCTGTCTTGAACATCGTATCCATAGGAGTATTGCGGATTGTGGTCGTAGTCTTCAGCTACCGCAGCTTTGGCAACTGGCGCGGCGTATGCGAGCGGAGCTGCCACTTTAGCAACGGGGGCGGTATGGTAAGCAACCGGTGCTGCGCGGTAAGCAAGTGGAGCTGCTTGGTAGGCAACGGGTGCCGCGTGGTACGCCAGTGGAGCTGCCGCCAATGGCGCTACTCCAGCTTTGGCAACCGCTGCTATAGCGGATACTAACAAAAGCTGCAAAGAAATATATGAATAAATAAATAGAACGCATTTAATCCGAAAGTAAGGCAAAAACTAAAAAACCATCTAATTCAAGCCAGAACAATTCAAGAGAAAAGAAATCTGCATCTCAACTCGATACCCTAGAGCAGTAAGTAAAATGTACTTTTACATAATACAGTGCATATTTACATCAGGGGAATGAGAGAAGCAGCATTATGTTGTTTTGTAACGTCTTGTTATTTTTATTTTACGTTATTTTGTTTTATGACCTGCATTTTTGCTTAATTTTTTTCATTTCATGCAAACATTTTGATTCTAAGTGATTAACTTCTTAATTTTTCTATCATGAAAATTATTTTCTCTGTGTATCACTAAAATCAAATCATTGTTAGATAAGTCGCACACACGGAAATAGTAGCTGTTCAATTATTTTCGGACGAGTAATTGCATTTTTAAAATCACGCAAAACGAAAATAATTTCAAAAATACGTCATTTACGGCGGTAGTGTTTGCGTGTGCGAGTGGACTTTTTTTTTTAATTTGCTTATTGACCATTTCATCATTGCGAAACGGGGCAGGTCGACGAGACCCAGCTAAAGTGCATTTGCGCAGGACCCTTTTTTGGAGTGGGTAAACAAGGAATTTTTATATCAAGCCGCTTCATATTCCGTCGGTGGCAAATATTTACCGAAGCATTTTTTACACCGCGAATTTTTCTATTGCGTGTATATGCAATTTAAAATTGCGTCTTTTTCTGTCGCAAGAACTGCGCTGCAGGCGGTTTAAATCAATCTTATATTAATATCAATATTTATCATTTGGCATTAAATTGGCTTTAGAGAAAAGAAAATATTCGCTAAACAAGAAAATGCTCATTTGTTATATCGATTTTGTCTTACGTTCAATGGGGGAATTAATGGAGGAGTTTCCAACTTTTCCTTTAGGCCGTATCATTTTGCTTCTTTTAAAAAATCGCAATTTATATAATTAGTACTGTGTTCTTTTAGGATAAAGTTCACCATTAAATTAGAAAAAAAGTCTGTTGAAAAAGATGTGTCCCAAGTGTACGTGGAAACTAAACAGGTTTACCATTTTTTTTTTAATTGTTAGAAATCAAAAAACCCTAAAATGCCATTAAAAAATGTTCGCCAAAGACACAATGAAAAACATTAATCTAGTTTTTAAGTCTCCTTCGAAGGCCGGTTTAATAAAATAGAGGTTGGCTCTTATATGAATTAATTTTTAACATTATTAATTTAACTATTAATTAATTAATTAATTTTTAAAATTAGTGGTGGTTTCAGCGCGGAAAAATAATAAGTCTCGCACATTTCTTAAGCTTTGTACGAAAACGCCCTAATCTATTGTTATCGGGATAGGTTGCAATTAAATTTTAATAACAGCACTGCCTCTGATGTACTGATGTATATTTCGTATTGAAGGTTGAATTTATTTAAATTACTTCCTTAACAATATTAATTACTACTTCTATTTCTAGATCGTTTAGAAAATGTGCATTTTTTGCGCTTCCAATTAAGGCGACTCTCAATGTATGTACAGGGTGCACGAGGAATACACATTGGAAACCATGGACATATTTTATTTTTCAGAATTCCCACAAAAGACATTTGAATAAAGACACTTTTTGAAAAATATCCTTTTTATAGAGCAGTTTTAATTAAATTTTCGTTCTAAAATTAATAACTCTCAAAATGGCGAAAATTCGTTATTCAGACATTTGGGTGAACATTTAACTACCACTAAATATTCATTTTGCTTACCTTGTACATATTAAATGTTGGTTATGTATTACGTGCAAGTTGAATACTGTGCATGTGTCGAGGTGGCGATCTCTTTTTATATTAAACAGTCTTCCTCCGGTTTTAGGCCACCCATTGTAGTTGGACGAACTTGAAAGAAATTTCGAAAGAACCGGACCTGTAGGATATTGTCATCTCATTAATCTAATAATGTTAACAAGTTTTGTCATTATCTCACGTTTATGGAATAACTCGTCGTTTGCAGTTAATACATTTATAATTATTTGCACGCTAAATAATGATTGATTTTATACAAAATGTATGAATGATGCGCTAGTTTTCCCAGTTGCATTTCAATCACTTTATTACTGTTCCACTATGAAATTTTGCGCGTACTTTTCCTCATTTAATTAAATTATCATATACTTAAATTTTCCCTGGATAAATAAATATACAGGCCATTATTTCATTCTAAGAGAACAACAGCATCGGTGCGTCAACTCAATCTAGCGGAAAACAGTAGATGAACCCCCACAAATATAAATAATCTTGTAAACTATGATTAATATACAGGGTGCTCCTTGATGGTAGTGAAAGCGATAATTTTTAAGCTCATTTTAGAAAGATTGGGGCAGAAAATGTAGAAAGATCTAGAATTACATCTTAAATCATATTAAAAAAAGATTTTTTTACTTAAAATGAATTTAAGAATTACCCTCTTCAATGTTGACACACCGTTAACATCCTGTCAAATAAAATGTTGCAATATATACAATGATTTTCCAATCCTGTGTGTCCCTAAGAGGACATTCTAGAATATCAGTGTAGTTATTTTTCGCGGTATAACCTTTGAAGTTACCTTTTTTCAGGCGGGTTTGGATCCCATTCCATTTTTTCTTTTAATAATTTCCATTTTTAACTATAACCGTTTTTCAAGTATCATAGTTTTCTTTCCGTAAAAGAGTATCACTTATACATCATTTATTTTCTGGCTCTTATGGTTACAACTCGTACGAAAATGTCCTAAATTCTTGACGTTATCTTTTCTTTCAGATTTAAGATTATGTCAGACATTAAAGCAATTAACTGAAATAAGTCGTTCGTATTTTATGCAACGGAGGTAGAGTAAGTGACCTTTCCATACTGGTTATAAAATATTATTACGAATTTGGTCCAAATGAGCAAAGGTTTTGTTGTTATTATTATGATTATGACTCGCGGTAAATAATTATTTACGTATTTGCAGTCTGGGTTAACAAAACAACGGCCGCCACATAATATTGTGAGCTGCAGTTTCGGGTAAACATTGAAGCATAGTTATTTACTTTCGGGGTAAAGCTTGCCCAGTCATATATTAAATATGCGGCTGCTTAACTAAATGCATTATTAAATTTTTCCTCGGTCAAGGTTATATACAAAAAGAAGTTTAATTATGTTTCAAGTAAATGTATTTTTGTTACCAAGCGGAGGCCGCTTTGTTTCTTGATACTGTGAAATTTTTATTTCTCAAAATAATATAAGTTTGAGAAAATACGTTAGAGGTTAGACTCTGGACTCCGCAACACCCCAAAAGGTAATCAGAACTCGGTGGTTACATTAAAAATAGACCTGATCAGCAAGGAATACTCTGAATAGCTATTCGAAAGGTCTCAGCAGATATGGCGAAGTAAAGGATACAACCAACTGAGAAAGAAGATATGAAACAATCAGCATCCTTTATATTGGAAGATTGTCAGAAAAAGTTCAATGCATCGCTATCGGTCGAATATCAAAACGATTGTCAGATATGACGATACACCCCACCGTTCCCTCACTAATACAAGACTTGCTAAGCAAAAAGACACCAAGAACTCAATATATATACCCATATACATACCCATAGGTATATGTATACCCATAGGAACAACGAGGCGAAACAACAATGTCTTAGATGGCGTAACATATATCAGAAAATCAACAAAATGTGGGAGATCCAGGGCTATAACTTCCATTTTCGGCATTTTCAGCTATGTACAGGATGTGTCAATTATGGCCAAAAAATAAAAAATATCCTGAAAATTCGTAGGCAAATGATTAGCAGTAAACAAAACAACAAAAACAACTTCGCTATCACTACTTCACACAGTAGCAATCAGCGGTCGCATCAAAATATTCTCTTGATAAGGTTCGGAGATACATACAGACCAACGGAAACCTTAAGAAATAATTTGATTGAAGAGAATATAAGTCCAAACAAGTAGTTTTAGGAACTCGTTCTCTAGATCTTTGAAACAAATATTGCATAATCAGGTTATCAAGTAATTGAAAATATTGTGTTCAAATCTTCAACATTTTCCTAGATGAAAGAAGAATATTAAAACGCGTCATACCATTTTTGCACAGTCTACACCATACGTATCCACTAGTCGTTACATTTCTTATTAACTTTGCATGCGAATTTTTCCTAAAACGGAAATGAAATTGCTCGCGTCGAGATTTGCCGCCGTTATTTAAGTACATTATTTTCGTATTTCTCATTTTTCATGCATAAACCTCCTCTCTCTCTCCCACCTGAAGGGTTCGCATCGCTTACTTATTTTTATGCTTATTAAGCGGGAAGGTTTTTACGATGAAACGAAAATTACTTTTGTCTAGTCGAAAGCTTACCCAGAGAACGTAACCGCTTTTGCTATAATCATTGCTTGAAAGGTTATTTCTCCAAATAACGTTGATACAATTGTTAAGGAATTGTTTAATTTTTGTCTTTCTCATTGTTTCGTCGAAGTGAATTATTTGCCGGGCAAGTGTTGTACGAGCTGCCACGAGACACAGATTCATAAAAACAATTATTTATACTATTTACAAATCTTCTGAATTCCTCCTGTGTACGTTGTTGATGAATAGCTGCTGACAAATATTAATATTTTAATTAGATTTTTTTCTTGGTTTGGAAAGGAAATTTGCCCCAAACCGAAACTAGAGAAATTCCTTAAAAAACATATGCCATCTAAACTATCACCAATAACAAAAAGGCAATGGCAATCGATAAATATACTGTAATTTCACAATTTACCCACTTCTTATTACCTACGCCAATAAGCAAGGATATGTTAATAAACTTTTTTAACGTAAACATATCTAACAGAACTTGAAGCTTTCGCGAAGACAATAAATCCTTCAGCACTAAAAAAGGCTGCACTGTTGGGAATATTGGTCTCTGACAAATTTTCTAAGTTAACATGTGTATTCTGTGAGTGTGTGCTGATGTCTCTGAGAGCTTGCCTTATTGATATATCAGTTTTAGCACGCAGTACTTACAGCGGTTTATTTCGAAAAATAGGTTTTGACAAACAGTATTGCCAAGAATCTTCGAACTTTTTATTATTGAATACATTACAGCATGAATTACTGTACTATTACTCCGTATGGGAACGTTAGTCTTTCCGGAACCTTTCGATACTGAATAATTATTTTAGCGCCTTCAGCCTATTTCTAAAAGCGGTAGGATTCTATGTCCAGGTCATAGTGCGTTCAGCATTCTGACAGATCATTCTTACCTCTAATGTCTATGGATATAGATAGATGTTGATGCAAAATGTGATAGTAATAAAGATTTTGTTCAAATTCAGAAGTGCCACATCTAAACCACTGAAAAATTATGATGTGTTCAAAAAGTAAAGTGACTTTTGTAATTGGGCTACATAAATTCGATCTTCGATATGTCCCTAATATATGTTCACAGGTACGGCACGTTTACCTTTTTGTGTTAGACTTGTTTTATGTGCTCGGCGATTTTCTGCTGTCAAAAGAAATGGAACAAAGAAACACTTAAAATGTTGAGCAAAAAAAAAGTTTATAAGCGGTACAATCTGTTCCAAGATGGCCGAGAAGACGCCGATTACGAACATCGCTCTGGACGAACCAGCATTTCAATAATTGATGCAAGCGTCGAAGAAGTGAAACGTATGGTGTTGAAAAATCCTCGAATCACTATTAGAGAAGTGGCTGAAGACGTCAGCATCTCTATTGGCCCGTACAATGCATTTTTTCCGAAGTTTTGGGGACGAAATGTGTAACAGCAAAATTTGTTCCGAAACTGCTGTTTAACGACGTCAATGATGATCGTGATATATTCAAAAATGTCATAAGTGGTGACGAATCATGGGTATATAATTATGATACCGAAACCAAAGCCTAGTCGTTTCAGTGGAAGAACCCAGAATCGTCAAGATTTAAAAAAGCTCGCCACCAAAGTTCATTATTGTCATCGCGATTTTGCTACTAAAACCTTAATATAAGAAATGGATAATAACTCTTTTTATATTGCGGTATATGTTTCATATGATGCCACAGCTAAAAAGTATAAACGTAAATGTCGAAGAATTGCATTTAATTCTATCCATTCGGGAAAGCTTTGGGAGTTTTTCAAACCAATGGCAATTACACCTAATGAGCATTTTCGAATGCCAATTAATTAAGTTTCTTTTGATCAGAAGCTTCAATCCAACTCAGCATCGATGTGCGGTAGATGCATACATGTATATAGATTAGTGCGTGATTCGATTTCAATTTCCGATTAAATGAAATGAACCTAAAAGTCATCACAGCGGTTGCTTCAATTATTTTTATTAACAACTTAAATACAAATTCAGTCTCCACGCTGTACAGTAATATACATATTTGATATTAGTGTAAAATGGCGGCAGGTTGGACTTTGGCTACGGGAATGGGCGCCACTTTGGCTATCGCGGGTGCTGCGATGACCGCTTGGGCCGCGATGGGTTCCTTGCGCACCACCGCGTTGAAACCGTTGATTGGATCGGCCGTGTAGTCCACGATGCGCCTAGTGCCGTCAGGGTCGTTCAGGGCGTAACTGCCCTGGACCTGGAAATAAGTTTTTATCAGTCTACAAATATATATTTTAAAGGGAATTAAACCAGTTAGTTTTGATGGAATGGTATTACAGGTCGCTCTATTGAAGAACAAAGTGTTGCTTTTATATTTCAGTGTTCAACTACTGGCGACAACTTGGAGTGAAGTGAAGGAATTATACATTTTTGAATACGGGATGTTGAACCGAATGGGTGCTTTGCGAGTTACGTCAGGCAGATATAAGGTTAAAGATCATTAAAGGAAAACTTAGTTAATGGTCTGCTCAACCCTCAACACAACGTTGCGAGGTGATGTTCTAAAGTAAACTTAAGTTTAAACAAAGAAACTGCCAAATGGTGTTGACTTTACTTGAACATTTTATAGCTAGTTATGAGTCTCGTAATTCGAAGGAACGAAATGTTAAAGTATCATCGTAGTTATAACTTCGAGTGTAAAATGTAAACATTAAATCCTAGCAGAACAGAATCGCTTGATTTAATTATCGACAAAATTTGGCGAAGTTTAGTCTTAGGAACTTTACGCTGCTCGCTAAATGTAGGAAACGGCTCATTATCTAACACCACTCCAAAACGTAAAACGCTTAATTTCGGGTTTAACGTATGATTTGTATAGTAGGACCATATTATAACGGACGTAGTCAAATCATGAAAAGCTAAAAAATAAAAATTAAAGTCTACAAGTTAAACACAATTGTAGACAGGCGGTTTTTTTATTTTTGCTATTTAATAATATGCGTAAAAACTTAATAAACCTACATCTAACATTTATGGGCGACTTAAATGAGTATTTGTTCACGAAAAGAATGTTTAAATGAGTTATTTATCTCGATTAAATTGTAGGATGTATTAACACGGCATTTGAGCATCTAATAGAAAATTGAAGTAATTTTGGTTGTAGTTTACCAAACACAGAGAAGATTTTCCTGCCTTTAAAATATGTCGATTTTCTTGAATGGCTCAACCACTGGGAGATAATTGCAAATCCATACAAATGGTAGTAATTTTATATTTGTATAGCGTGTCCTATTAAATTGGCATCATACCCGAAAAGCGTTGTTATTTAAAGTTCGCACATGGTTTACACTTTTGAATATCACTATAACATATACAATTTGCTGAGATGTATTTAAGGAATATACAAAAAAATGAATTTTACGAATGTAAGGGAAAAATTTCATTTTCGAAAATATTTACAATTGTTTTTGAGAACAGTTTTTCATAATTAATTACTATTGCCAGATATTCAATCTCTCTTTGTTAGCGCCGATAATTTATGCTTTCTTTTGTATTCAGGGAATATGACGAAAGGATAATTAAATGTCTAGCAGTGTAGCAGAAGGAGGCTTTAGTAAACTGAAATAATTAGTGTTCGAGATGGTCAATTGACTATTTCTTAATTGACTAAATTGACTAGTCATATTCTATCAATTTTTTTTAAATAAGATCTTTCAATTGTAGAGCGACAAGCGAACGGATGATATCCCGGAATATAGTGTCATCAAATATATATATATATATATATATATATATATATATATATATATATATATATATATATATATGATGACACTATATTCCGGGATATCATCCGTTCGCTCGTTGAACTCCGACTGGAATCCTGCATCCGACTGGAATCCTGCAAATCTTGCATCCGACTGGAATCCTGCAGACGTTTCGCCAAAATCTCACTTGGCATCTTCAATGCTCGCGCTCCGAAAACACTTCGAACAGTGTTCGAAGTGTTTTCGGAGCGCGAGCATTGAAGATGCCAAGTGAGATTTTGGCGAAACGTCTGCAGGATTCCAGTCGGATGCAAGATTTGCAGGATTCCAGTCGGATGCAGGATTCCAGTCGGAGTTCAACGAGCGAACGGATGATATCCCGGAATATAGTGTCATCACATTTTTCCATCCGTGAATCAATACGTGAGGATATATATATATATATATATATATATATATATATATATATATATATATATATATATATATATATTCAATTATAAACATTTATTTGTTTATAACGATTCTTCATACTTTGCTCTTGCTTTCATACAGAACTTTCTAATAACACATTGACAAAGAATAAGTTTTTTTCCTAGACTAGTTACAAAAAAGGTTCCCATATGGTGGCCACTTAATTAGATACTATATGTTTATTTTGGCGATACATAAGCAACTTTCTAAAGTGATCTACGGTTTTTCTAACAATTTGAAACAAATATACCTACTGTATTTATAAGAATGGAGAATCGTTTTGCGCTACGTTTTCCCAGTGAATGTCTAGTTCCTGCAGGAGTAATAGCTAGGAAACGGCTACACAAATTTCACATTACTGCTTCAGCCACCAGAGAACGCCCTAATTCCAAGCGGTTCGCCTAACGACGAATATTACCGCTAATTATACCCTTCCGGATTTTCGTCGCATTCTGGAGCACACATTTATATCACTCGAGAGTTAAGAGAGAACTTTCCATTTTAAAATTACTAATAAGCTCGGAATTTTGCGAGATAGGTACACAGGCAGATCGAGATCAATATGGCTACATTTTGCAAGTTCGTAATGCTGCGAGTATTAGAGTTGTTTATGATAGTAATAATCATTATTGGAACTAGTTATAGATTTAGTTAAAGAACCGTGCAAAATTGCAAAAAAAAAACAATTTTCGTTTTAAAGTCCTTTGTATTGATTATTTGTTTGTCTCAAAATAAGACAACAATATTTTTCAGTACCTATTGTAATGTTTAGTATTTATGGATAGTATATAGGGTATTATACTATAAAAGTGTGGTGGTTTTCAATATACAGGGTATCGAAGTTTTATTTCTATATTTATTGTTTGTCCATAATTTTGCTCTCTACATACCTTTTCTCGCTCTCAGAGGCTTATAACTTCTTCTACTACCCTGTGTTATATTCGACTAATTCATTTTACTGTTTTCCACTCAAAATTTATTAAAAAAATTATTTTCTAACCAAAAATATAACACAGGCGCATACAAAGTCATGGTCCTTTGAAAGTGAGAAACGACATGAAGGTAGCCCTGCAAGTAAAACCTAATTAAGAAAAAAATCAATTTTTTCATGTGAAAAAAAATCTCCACATTTCGTTCAAAAGTCGGCAAGAAATTATACAGAAAAACAAAAATTAAAATAAAATTTGGCCACCCTGCATCTCGAAATCATAGCATGGTAGACCCCACGTTTATGGTAACTTTTTACCTTAAAAATATTTGAGAAAAAATTATATGATATTATTAAAAAACACTGACATTATATTCAATTTAATTACTGTAGCCATTCCGAGAATTCAAATTTTCTGCAAAGACATTATTTTCTGCCTTCTCCTATTTCTTCGAATTTCTAAATGAAACAAATTAGGATATACGTTTATATGGACTTTTTACAAAAAATTTGGTTTAATGTCCCGAAAAACTTGGTCAATATCAGTCTCGACATTGATGAGCTCTTTTTACCCTTTTTTCTTTTTTAATGATCAGTCCTTAAAATTGTCTAGGTTTTTAGACTCACCGAAGATGACTTTCGCTGTTTTTATATAAAACTATTTACCCCCATTTAACCTCTCTGAGCATTTTTTTTGTTATATATAAGTTTCCACGTACGGTATCTCCATTTCTTGTCTCGCTTTGGCTCTTCACGTCTCCGGTGATGCTGTCGTTGATATCGTATCCGAAAGAGTATTGGGGGTTGGGGTCGAAATCTTCGGTTGCTACAGGGGCCGCTTTAAGTACAGCTGGCGTTGCGTACGTCTTCAGCAAGGCTGGGGTTGCAATGGGTGCTGGTGCGTGGTAAGCGATTTGAGCAGCTGGAGCATGGTAGGCTATTTGAGTCGCAGGGGCGTGGTAGGCGATAGGCGCGGCCCGGAGAATTGGGGCTGGGGCAGGATGAATAATCTGCTGGGGGGCTAAGTGGAGTGATGGGGCGGCATATCTGAAATTAAATATTGCAAGATCATATTACTAAAGCAAACAAAATTGGCATTAACGATATCTTCATTTTGCGTAACGTTATTTTTTGATTATGTTTTTATAGGACATTACATTTTTAGCATCTTGCTTAAAAATTATCATGTTGTATAAGTTGATATAATAAAGAAATAAGTAAAATAACGTGAAGGTAATAAAAAAAACACCAACTAACCAGCTCTCAACTGTGTATTGTGAAAACTTCATTGTCGAAATGGCAATAATGACCTAATATTTTTTCTGGAAAGCACGGACACACAAATTAGCTTTCTTTAAAGAAACCAAATCCAAAAAGGAAATTAAAGCATTTTAAAATTGCTTCGGTTTTGTTTAAACAACTTTTAAAACCGCTAAGGGAATTTAAGACGCCTTAACCGTTCCATTTTATAGAGAATTTACGACGCCATAAAAGCAAAACTTCGGTAGATGCCACAACCGCAAAACGATTAAACCGTTCTTTTCTGTATCTAATTTACAGTGATGGCGTCTAATTCTTTATTTGCGTGTACGGGAAATTCGGCAACAAAACAAACACATGAATCAGACATATAACCAGCAGTTATAAAATTTCTAATGCGTTCCCAAATAACTTCTTTATTTTTATTCAATTTTACATCATATTAGGGTCAGCAAGAGTGGTAATTTGCCACTTTTAATTTACGTGAAAACCGCAAATCGTGTTTGTAACGGTGCAAAGGAAACAATGCCCCATTCTGCCATTTCTATTCCATTATGCCCGCACATCTCTCTTCCCGTATTCGGAAGTTCTCTGAACAAAGACCAGTACAGTAAGTTTGTATTCGAATTAAATGAATGGTTATGCCATTTTAGGTTTCAATTCTGTCATGATTGCTAATAGTTATAGTTGCACCATTTCTTAATCTACAACGACAGAATCTGAGAGCACACTTTCGGTTTTGCTGAATTGAAGGTCGCACGCCTCAGTTTCACCAGATTCTCTGAACAGAACAGAACCGTAGTCCGATCCATATATTTAGCTTAGTTTCGAATCGCAGAAAAAGAATCACAAAAAAAAACTCCTTGGACATATCAAGATACGGTTTTCCCCGTTCAATTTATATTAAAACTCGAGCCTCACAATAGGGTTAATAAAGTTGTACGTATTCTGAAAGTGCATCAACCCATAGAAAACCGAAAACTGACAAAAATCATTTCATTTCGAAACCGACTTTTCGCGTAATTTAACCACAATATCCAAGCGGAAACAAATGTTTTATTCAGCGTCATTTCGCGTGTTAAAATGGAGTATCTGTGGCCGTTTTAATATTCAGCTTCGCCACCATAATATGTTTTCTGTTGTAATGCATAGAAAAGCGCGACGCTGCAGCGTCGGCTGTCGCTGCGTTAATTTGAATTTTCCTTGCAATTTCCAATATCGTAACAACATGTGCGCTGAAAATATTTCTGTATATTGTTAAAAGTTCCATGAAAATAAAGCACCGTCAAGGAAAAATGTGTGCACAATATTCAAGGTCTCTAAGATTTTAATATCCTAAAACACTTAAAAAAAATATTTTGTATTTTTGCACAGTGCAGGTATTTTTACACAGTGCGAAGGAACTGGAAAACAATTTATAAGAGATTAAAAAGTAGTCCCTAATTTCCTTGTTTTAATTGGTATATTTATGGTAGACACTGAAAATACTAAACTCATTAAATGTGTATATATTAGAAGAAAGAGGAACACACTATACAATATCTTATGAAAAGAAATATTCTTGCCGTAATTATATTTTGGATAATAGATTGATTATAAAGTCTCTAAAACACCTTTTTTTGATTTTAAGGGAACAAAATTATACTATTTGCAGATATAATAAGAAACTGATTTTTCCACAAAGCTTTCCGATACGGGGAGGAAAAATGAGGCCTCCGTATCGAAGATTTGATATCGGTTTGATATTTTATTAATTATTTTTTTTAAGGTCTAGAGGACAAGAATTTAAAATTATATTATCGACTCTCGACTTTTTCCATTGATGGTCAAGTTGCCATTTAATTTTTCATTTTGATAAATGAAAATTTATTCTCGAGTTATCATATGATTTAAAATTGTTTTATTAGATTTGTAATAAAAATTAAATTAAATTAAAGGTCTCCTCCGTGATTGATCCGTCAATTTTTTGACTTGTTTTAGATAGTTTTCTTTAGTTCGATCTCCATCCCTAAATAATAATAAAAACAACATCGTTATTACTAGGCATTTATTTCTCTAGTGCGATTCGCAATTTTATGTTTTGTTTTCAAATAGAAGAATCTAAATCCCATAAAGCAACAACTTTTTGGTACCCGAACAAGATTTGTGAAAAATAAAACGCTTAAAAATATTTGCTTCAGAGATATGAAAACTGCCTTGTCACACAGTGTGTATTTGGTTGCATCATTAATGGAGCGCCTGTTTAAAATGAGCCAATACAAAGAGTAGAAAAGGAAGAGTCGACTAGCGCCATGCAGCGATACTTTTTCATTCCCTTTATTTCGAATAGACAACCGGGTTTTGTTTTACACCAAGCTGAATAACTTTTAAAAGCCTGATAAAACGGTATTTTTCCCCAAGGAAATGCATAAAATCGTGACGCGGTAAACTCTTCAATTCGAATGTTTTTATTCCTCGAAATGTATTTATTCGAATGTTCTTGATTTTAAGAAAAGCTGTGCGTTGATTTGAAATGAAAACCAATATTTAAAAAGCGATTAGTGCTAAATTACGGATTCCATACCCGATATTATAGGGCAAATTTTATTTAGAATCAGTTAGATAGAATCGGATAGTAGATTGGGTTCTTTGTCTTACACGTTAATAATAACGTCATACAAATGTCATAAGAGACTGTGTTATATTACTTCTCAATGTTCCTACATGCTTGGATTTTGGGTTTGCTAAGGGTTATATTACATTACATAATATAGATATATTTTAACTATCCTTGACGATGATAATCTTGTATGTAGAATATCTACTGATAATTTCAAGCTGATGTTAATTAATAAATATTTTTTTAAATGGTAAATTCTTGTGATGCATACGGTTGCAGTTATGCCTATATTCAGCTAAAAAAAGTTTTTTTTGGTTGAGTAAAGCATTTACACGCATTGCATTTATCATGATTTCTTATAAATATAAAATAAATTAATATGATTGTAAGTATAAATAATGTTAATTTGATTTTATGATTTATGCGACATGATAATGGGTATATTTGTTCGTATTATTTAGAAATAAATAATAAATCAGTGTTTTCACATTCTATACCTAATACGTGTGTATTTTTGAAATAATAATAATACTGGACAATTTGTATGCGGTTTTTTTAGGTTCTTTAGGAAGTTAAAGTATTATAAATTTGATTTTTTACAAATATTAATATTTGTCGAACAATAACATAAATAATTTCGGCAAGAATGATATCGAAAAATAAAATATAGCATTCAAGAATCAAGAATCCCCAATACTTTTTCTATTATTATTATTTGTTTTTTCAATGGACATACCGGATTTGTGCTGTGGCAATTGGAGCTGCTGAATATGCTTGGGGTTGGGGCAAAAGGTAGCCCGCGTTGGCATAGACGATGAAACAAGCGAAAACCACAACTTTTCCAGCCATTTCTTGGTGTCTTTATTGACAAAATGCACTCAACTGGTACATGCCCCGAATGCAGCTCTTTATATAAGAATTCGGGGGTCATGTGGAATCCAAAATGAACGAGTTTTCGGTGCGTAAAGGTCAGCCCTAAATGACGTATTTTTATTTCGTTTCATATCTTCTCACCCGTAAACAGATCTAACACCAAACGGTTGTTCGCTGGACATTATTGATAGAAAGTGGAGTATTCAAATTGCTTTCCCTATTCAGATGCATTTAAAACGCGTCACCTAAGATTCCGTACTTAATGTGTTGTGGAAACCACAGCAAATATATTTTGAATTTGATAGACACTTGCCCATCATTACTAACAAAAGAGCCATCATGGTTTATATAGCGTTGGTGTAATATTAATAAGTAGTAACTATAATAACATCAAGGAGTTTGGCCACTGAAAAACCTGAAAAGACCGACTGCAAAATTAATGACAAAATCAATTAGAAATGGCATCTATTTAAATTGATAATTAAAATGAAAAAAATCTATAAAAGAGCATCTATCTTAGTTGACCAATCGATAACCCAACTGAAAAAAGGGGTTGTGGGAGATTAGATACGCAATAAAAACTTCAGTTCAAATACTTAACTGATGCTTTTATTGCTTTAATGTTACTTTGGTAAGTACATCGTAAGTTAACATTTTTTAGTACTAAATCCTTATATTAGCTGAGATGAATCAACTGAATTTTTTGACTTAAACTTAGATTTGCATTATTCTTTCTAATAGGCGCACGATTCAATCACAAAAGCATTTGCGCGCCCTTTAAGTTTTGGATTATACATTTCTCATCTATCTCTTTGGCGCTCAAAGTTTCCGTTTGCATAGTTTTCTACACATATGGACACACCGCGAAAAGTAAAATAAAACTTGTTGTAAAACCGACTGATATTAGTAACTCCAGAACATTCGCAATCTGCAATCGCAATCTGCCTTCATATAGGTCTTTAGAAAGGCTTTGGACAAACTTTGATAATTCCCCAACAAAATAGATCCACAGGAACGTGTCATTGTTTTGTGGCAATTCTCTCCTTTAATTTCCCTTTGGCCATTAAAGCACACGAATACATGTCGTATAAATTTCTCTAAGAGGTAAAATATTTGTCATCCAGGTCTTAAGCGCAATTACTTTCTTTATGTTTTAATAACTTCCCCGTATTAAATCTAATGGAGCATAAATAGTTGTAAATTTAATTTAAGAGATGAGCAAATTTTTTTAAATTTTCTATCTGACAGAAAAAGAATTTAATTTAGACAGATAAATAGCAAAGTCAAATTAGAAATTCATTACATATTTCTGCCATTTCTGCAAACGAAATTTTACGTATTTCAATTTTAAGCAACAAAATTTAGGTATACAGTTTTTTTTTTCTTCTGAATATATGATTCATTTTTTGTAGATTTTACCACACTTCCTACTTACTAAAAAAGTTAGTGTTACAACTTTCGTGAAAAAACGCAACTTGATGTTTGCAGGATGATTTTGAAGAAATAGTATTTTTAGACACCTTTTGTGGTTCGGTTCTTCGTTAACTTATCGAAAAGGTAAAAAGTGATGTGGACAGTTTTCTTCTAAAATTCACAAATTTTGATATAAACTACCAAAACGCAATATAATAATTTACAACGAAACGCTACTTACCTGTGTAAACATGTATGTGTACAATGTTCAATGCGTATATCCAATTTCTCATAACAAGGAAGAGCAGACAGAAACCAAAATAGTAATTACGAAATGTGGTGACACTGAGAAAACTAATATAATTTATATTAAGAAGACGGACATGGCCTACTGATTCAAAAATAGAAGTATATTGATCATATAGCCATTAAATAATATAGTACTGCAAAAATTGATACACCGCAGGTGGCATTGATGTTTTCGTAGAGAACGTAACCTGCACTTTGGGAATTTTATTTCTAAACAGCGCTTAACTCGTTTTTGCAAAACATTTAACATTAACATAGAGAAAAAACTGCCATAAAAATTTATTGTTGATCTGTCAGTGGCCGCAGTGGTTGTTGAATGCCTCAAGATTATTAAATAAAAGCGAGATTTCAAATCTCGAGCATAGCTGCTTCATAAGTTCGAATATTATCAGCATTGGCAACGCCTCTATATGTCTAGTAGCTATATGGTTCTTGTAGCTATATGGTATCTTGTTCTTCTTCTTCCTTGAGGCTTTTTCGAGGTCTATAAAACATACATATTTATTAATATTAGAATAATGCTTTATATAAAATATATAAAATTGATAAAAACATAAGTTTAGTTTGCATATGAAAATTTCTGAATTTCCGAGGAAAACTTACTGGATCCTACAAAAAAACTGAATGCAGACCACTTTTCAGCATTTTTACTAAATTTATTCAGCAGATTAGTTAAGCTTGCAAAGCTTAAGTGGTTACGTTTTACATTTTAGTTAATTAGTTTTAGTTGGGAATGAAGTAGTGTTGAGAACGGAAGCCAAAAGACTTTAATTTTGCGCTGTTCACAGTTACTATAAAACTCACTTAATAATGTTCTAATATTGTAACTGAGTCTGACTAGTCAACAAGTAAATAAATAAACATTGTAAAGTGATTGGAAGTGTTTCCAATCAACCAGTGTGTTTAAGAAAAAGGGGCCATATATATTTTTTGATTTTAAATTTTTAAAAAATGATCCGAAAAAGCGATGCAATTTCCAATACCCTTAGTGACACCTAAAGCTGAAGGAAAATATACAAAATAACTTGGTATGTAGGAAAGAATACCCATTAAAATTACATTAAATGGATAACCTTTTCCAAAATAATTTTTCTTCCAAAAAAATCTCACCTTTGCAAACCAAAATCAATACACTTTACCCGAAGAAACATCGGCACCGACTTCGTTATTGCAATTGCTACGAAATAGTTCTTCCACATACCTCGTGTTGGGATTTGCTGTCTCCGGTCAAACTATCTTGAACTTGATAACCGTAGTTGTACTGTGGGTGTGCATCGTACTCTTCCTGTACAATTTGTTTTACTGCCAATGGAGTAGCTACTTTAGCTACAGCGTAGGGTGACTCGTAGGGTCTGGCGAGATAGCCAGCGCTAGCTACTGCCAAGGCTCGCTATTTTAATTATTCTCGTTTTAATATCCAGTCGTTTATGTTATCCACTCTACACATTTCTCTCATGTTCTCGCTTCACTCCCCGTTCCATAACGTTTTTCCAGCAATTTTGCGTAATACTTTCATTTGGGTTGTTTGCATCGTCTGTTTAGTTTTTGTTGTGTTAGGTCATGTTTCTGGTGTGTACGTCATTATTGATCTAATCGTTGTTTTCCATTCCATTCTGATATAATTGTTTTCCCAAATGATTTAAGCATGCTGTTATCTTAGTTGCTTTGTTAGTTTGTTCACTTACTTCTGTTCCCAGATCACCATAACTTGAGATTTCTATACCCAGATAGTTAAATTTCATCTCCTGCTGAATAATTTTTCCGTCGACTACAAGCTTATACCTGATCGGCAATTTTTAAGTGGTCATACATTTTGTTTTAGAGGCATATATAATCATGTTAAGTGATTTAGTTGTTTGGTTAAATAATTGTAATAATGTTTTTAGGTCGTCTTCGTTTTCTGCCACCCTACTCCCTTGATTGTTAAAGAGAAGGGTTCCCTTCTTGGCTTGAACTTTGTTGCTCGAATATATATTTTCGATATATACAGTGTGTCCAAGATAAGGATGCACAGCATGGGGATCTCGGAAACTATAAGAGATACAGTGTCGGTTAAATTAGACAAAAGTTGCGCATTTTGATACCGAACAAGATCCCGTTTTACAAATTTGAAAATTCCAAGCCGTTCCGGAAATATCCGAGAAAAACCGAAATATTGCGATTTCGTTTTTATTATTTTTTAAAGCTATTTGAAAAGATATGGAAAAACGGAAAACACTTTTCCATTGGCACTTTTTAATCTCTCCAAATTGACGTTAACAAATTTTCATTACAGCGTTTCGATTCCATGGAACCACCATCAACTTTGATTTTTCTTATGGGACGGAAAAAAAGTACACACAGTATTAGGTTGTGCTTTTCATTGCGAATTCAATGATGTACGATACAATATGGTTACTTATGTTTTTATCCAGAAAAATGGATTTTTAATACATTTCAGCATTTAAATGGAGTAGGCCATGACAAAATGACATCCAGTCAATTTCAATGACATATTAATGTTATTTGTCTTTGTTATCAGTCGATCATAAGTTTATTCCTTTAGTTATTGTTTTTGTATTTTTATTGTTGTTGTCTTTTTCTAATTTATTTTGTTCTACAATGGAGGGAGGTAATTTTACAAACGAAGAAAAATGTGATATGCTGTCTTGCTACATCTGATGCCAAAGAAATTGTGTGGAAGCCGAGCGTATGTATTCTAACAAATACCCAGAGCGGAGACAACCTGACAAGAGTATTTTTCGGCGTTTGTTATTTAATCTGAAAGAATATGGATCATTTAAGAAGCCTGCATTATCCCGACAAAAACCTTCCAATGAAGAAAACCAATACATTGTTCTACAATCTGTTATGGAAAATCCACAAACTTCTACCAGAGAAATTGAAGACCAGAATGGGGTAGCTAAATCTACAGCTCAGTTTATTTTAAGGAAAAATGAATTTAAGCCTTACAAATTCAGAATATGTCAAGCATTAAAACCGGGTGACGACGAACGACGTAGACATTTTTGTGAGTGGTATACCAGGATGTGTGATGAGAGTTTTAATTTTCCATATAAAGTGATTTGGTCTGATGAAAGTATGGTGACCAATAACGGTATTTATAACAGGCGCAATACACACTATTGGTCGCAACAAAATCCACGTGTTAATAGACTATCCAGACATCAAGTTCGCTTTGGGTTTAATATTTGGTGTGGGATTTTTGGTAGCAAGATTATAGGCCCTATTTTCTATAATAATTCCTTAACTTCCGAGCGGTACCTTGACATCTTGAGGCACGATTTAGAAGATGCCTTAGATGATTTACCGCTAGGCGCTGTGCAAGGCTGCTGGTTCCAACAAGATGGTGCCCCAGCCCATAACTCCAGAGAAGTTCGCCAATATTTAACTGAACGGTTTGATGGAAAATACATTGGGACTTACAGTGAAACACCTTGGCCTCCAAGGTCCCCGGACTTAACTCCCTTGGACTTTTTCTTATGGGGTTACATAAAAAATGAGGTATTCAAAGAATGTTTTGACAACGAGGAACAATTACGTCAATCAGTACGAGCAGCGTTTAATAAAATTACTCCTGAAATGTTAAGTCGTGTTTTGGAGTCTACCGTGAGACGGGCGTACTTATGCCTAGAAAATGGAGGTCATTTATTCGAACATTTGTTATAGAATTTGTTTTTCATTAACTTGTTGGATTTAGTTGTTATGTTAAATGAACAGTTAGAGTTAGTAAATAAATAAACACATTAACTCGAACACTTGTCAACCATTTTCTTTTGCCTTTCATCGTTCGGATCTCACGGCCTACTACAATAAAATACTGGAAATGTATTAAAAAGCCATTTTTCTGGATAAAAACATAAGTAACCGTATTGTATCGTACATCGTTGAATTCGCAATGAAAAGCACAACCTAATACTGTGTGTACTTTTTTTCCGTCCCATAAGAAAAATCAAAGTTGATGGTGGTTCCATGGAATCGAAACGCTGTAATGAAAATTTGTTAACGTCAATTTGGAGAGATTAAAAAGTGCCAATGGAAAAGTGTTTTCCGTTTTTTCATATCTTTTCAAATAGCTTTAAAAAATAATAAAAACGAAATCGCAATATTTCGGTTTTTCTCGGATATTTCCGGAACGGCTTGGAATTTTCAAATTTGTAAAACGGGATCTTGTTCGGTATCAAAATGCGCAACTTTTGTCTAATTTAACCGACACTGTATCTCTTATAGTTTCCGAGATCCCCATGCTGTGCATCCTTATCTTGGACACACTGTATATATATATATATATATATATATATATATATATATATATATATATATATATATATATATATATATATATATATTAATATTAAAATTATGTTTTATATAAAATATATAAAATTGATAAAAACATAAGTTTAGTTTGTATATGCAAATTTCTGAGTTTCCGAGGAAAACTTACTGGATCCTACAAAAAAAAACTCAATCCAGACCACTTTTCAGCTTTTCGATTTGTTAACGCACAGGCGAAACACAGGTGTGTAAAAATGCACAATTTTCAAAATCACCCTGCATCTAAACATCCGAGGCATTTCTGTGTGTGTCACCTGCTCTATTAATAAGGGAGATATGAAACACGTTACGACTTACAATTTTAAAAACATTAGATTTATACTTATTTATACCCTTTTGATTTGATTGATTTGATTTACTTAAAAAGGCATCATGCTCTTGTTGGTTTAAAGTTTCAATAAAACTAAAGAGTTAAAAATCGGCTTCTATACTTTTGCTTAAATATCATCTGTCTTGATTTGAAATAAATGCTTACATTTTTGCAGAAAATACGATTTTTCACGAGATCCGGAACCTTGATTTATCAAGACGTAAATCTGATGGTATTTTTAACTTTTTAATAATACACGAGGAAGAATACGAACGTTATGACTTTGGCCTCGCCACGATGCGATGGTAAGAAATGATTTATTGCCCCCTAAAAGAGTTAATTTTCTTCGGCAATTTCCCACATGAACTCACATCTCGGGCAGATAATGTTAAGAGTCAATGGAAGAAATTACTTTTACTTTCGTCCCAAGCATCAAGGCGTGGCGTTACATTGGCATTGGCCTCGTTTTGATATCTCATAAATAATCTTAAAGGTTATGTAGAGGCTACTGTTACATTTTTTGAATCTGTGTTCTCCTGTCTTTTTTATTCAGCGAGTACACGGACGACAACGCGTCCTTAATCGGAGCGAATGGGCTTATCGAAATGGATTTGGAAATACGATGATATAAGACCTTAATAGCATCGTCCAACGCAAATCCTACTAAATGGTGTGTACACAAAGCTTTTTTTAGTGTAATACTGCTATTACTGTATTTATTTTTTTAGCGACTAAAATTTTGAAATAGTATTGTCGCCTTACAGGTACCATTTTGACTTTCAATAATCACAAATACTAAATAAATAATTAAGCTGTTTACGAATTAGAAAAGCTTTCGTTTGACTGTCTTCTGCTTCAAGTATTTTTTTTATCAGGAGGAATTGTGTCCATACTAGTTGTAGTAGTAGTAGTGGTGGTTAGAGTAATTGATTCAAAATTTGAACATTTATTTTGGAATTGATTAATTGATTGATTTAATATAATAAGATTTTCAATTGACATTCAAAACACAAAAAACGAGACCAATACAAATATATAGCGTTGGGGCTGATCAATTGACTACTTCTGAATTGACTAGTCAAATTCGATTAAAGTGTTTTAAATAACATCTTGCAATTGTAAAGTTTGCGCAAAATGTCACTTTAGGAGGTCAGCACCATTGACAATTTCAAGGAGCTGCTTCAGACACTTCCGATATTTTGGCCACTGGTTTGGGAGCGATCAGATCTTTTCGATAGAATTTAGCCGCTTATGGTATTTTGACGTTTGTCACTAGCGATGGTCACGTCACACGTTGTTCAGGGGTTTCGCGCTGTTATTCGAATATTGCTGTCGAAAAAGTATAGTATGCAACACGCTGATAAATTTCTCCAGTCATATTAAGCACTTACTCCTCTGGCGCCAAATCAAATTTGCAACTAACGCGGCGCTTTACAGACTTGTTGTACGCGGTATAGTTTGGTGAAATTTTTATTTTTTTTTATAATTATTGCAAATCCAGAGGTGTAATTAAATTTGCATTATTTTTTTTTACAAGAAAAACAGACTGGTTGCCCTAAAAATTAAAATTACCTAAATTATGAAAAATGTCTATGTCTACTGTGACCAGAAAGTTAGTTGAAACTGGGTTTTTGAAATCCCAAAGTATTAAAAGAAAATCGAAGTATAGTTTCATTAGTGAGCAGGAAAGTTTTTCCATTCAATATTCTAAAAGTGACCAAAGTTTTATGACGGTAAACACTATTTGTTTTTGTGCTAAGATTTACCTAACATTACAACAACTGGTTTCTGTCCGGATGCCCGTAATCAGATCACCTTTTCTTGCGTTATTTACATACATGTTTGACCGTACGAATGTTAGGAATCTATAGTTTACTACGATTCGATAGGATGATATTAAGATACACAGTCGTTCTATTTCAATAATAACATATATTCGCACACAGTCTATGAATCAATAAATAAATATAACAAATCAGTCTAGAGAATAACATCTTTAGTGGTGGTAAGCGGAGTAGGACACGGGGGATGCATAAGCTACAGGCTTGGCGTATGCCACTGGAGCAGCAACTTTTGCCACTATTGGCGACGAGTACGAAGTAGAATAAGCCACTGGAGCCGACTTCACTAAAGCGGGCGCCGCATAGGATACGGGTGCGGCGTAGGAAACTGGAGCGGCCACAGACTTATAGACAGGGGCGGCATAAGCGGCAGGGGCGGCGTACGACACCGGGGCGGCATACGCTGCCTTTGCTACTACAGGGACGGCAGTTTTGATCGGTTCTCTGTTAACGACGGCGTTGAATCCGTGAACAGGATCGGCGGTGTATTCGACAGTTCTTTTGAAACCATCGGCATCGATTAGGGAGTATGAACCTTGGACCACATCTCCATCACGCGCCTGCAAATAAATTTAGGAGTCACTCTTTGGACAATTCTCTCGAAACCCAAAAGTTATTGACTGTATCCAAATAATTCACATTGACTCTTATTTCATTTTTAGTAGGAAAAACATCTATTAAACATATACTTAAATTTATTAGAATATGATACGGTTAGTTTTTTTTCAATTAACCGTGTTGGAATTAAGGAAGTTTTCGTTTGACTGGATTCTGCTATGAGTAGTAGTAGTAATTCTATTCTGTTTGACAATTTCAAACAATTTATTTTGGTAGTGATTCTTAAAATTGATATAACGACATTTAAAATACCAAATACATGACAAATACACACACAAATATGTCCTTGTGAATCTGACACTTTAAAAAATCACAACTCTTGGATTAGTAGAAGCAACTAGAGTCTATTTTAAAATTAATCTTTACAATAAACGTTCAATACCTTAATATTTTTACTAAATTTATTCAGCAGATTAGTTAACCTTACAAAGCTTAAGCGTTTACGTTTTACATTTTAATTAACTAGTTCTGCCGTAAATGTTTAAGGTATTTTAACGTGTTTTATTGATGCAGTGTAAGTTGGGAATGAAATAGTGTTGAGAATGGAAGCCAAAAGGCTTTAAATTTGCACTGTTCTACTGGCGTGTTAAATAGTTACAAAATAATAGAATACCTACCTGATTGGGCTATTCCGTGATCAACGGTTACCATAAAGCTCACTTAATACTCTTCTAATACTGTAACTGAGTCTGACTAGTCAACAAGTAAATAAATAAACATTGTAAGGTGATTGGAAGTATTTCCAATCAACCTGTGTGTTTTAAAAAAAATGGGGCCAATTATGTTTTTTGATTTTTAAATTAACATCATAAATTTGAAATATATGAATGAACCCAAAAAACGATGCAATTTCCGATGCCCTTAGTGACACAGTAAAATTGAAGGTAGTAGGAAAATATACAAAATAACCTGGTATGTAGGAAGGAATACCCATTAAAATTACATTAAATGGATAACTTGTTCCAAAATGATTTTTCTTCCAAAAAAATCTCATCTTTGCAAACCAAAATCAATACACTTTACCCGAAAAAACATCGGCAACGACTTCGTTATTGCAATTGCTACGAAATAGTTCTTCCACATACCTCGTGTTGGGATTTGCTGTCTCCCGTCAAACTATCTTGAACTTGATAACCGTAGTTGTACTGTGGGTGTGCATCATACTCTTCCTGCACAATCTGTTTTACTGCCAATGGAGCAGCTACTTTAGCTACAGCGTAGGGCGTCTCGTAGGGGTTGGCGAGATAGCCAGCGCTAGCCACTGCCAAGACTCCGGCGAAAGCTAAAAGCTGAATAAAAAAACATATTTATTTTAGATTTGGGCAAGTTCATCCAATGCATTTCGGAAAATATTCCTGTATATATTTTAGATAAAAACAAGATAAAATAACTCGACAGTTCTAAACGCCCTGATGGTATAATATTTCAAACCGACCGGTAAAAAGGAATGTTAATATGAAAAATACCTCCCAATGCAAAATTAGTTTCTCGTCTATGCTGAAAAATATTTCAAATATTTTATAAAATTGGCGATACTTTTTATATGCTTTGAAAATTATACTGCGATATTGCAGCAGGCAAGCAACTTTATTATAGAGGTAAAACAAACCATCCGCGTCGCAATATTTACGTGCAAACAGCGAATTCCTCTAGCTCCACCGACCCTAAATTTCCAATATCGAACAAAAATATTTGCCCACTTGACTTACTTTGAAAACCATTTCGCTAGACGAATCTGTGTAATGCGATGTATGTCTCTTAACTTCAAATGATACAGCTCTCAAAGCGGCCCGGTCTTTTTATAGTCGGTTGCAAAAATTGCAAAACTAGAACGCAGTCCGCAGAGAGACACGCCTTTTTTCTCGAAAACTTATTTGTCACAATTATACACAAATAAAAATGTATTGCTTACGAATTCATTATATCACTTTTCACCTTGGACCATCGGTGTATAGATACCAATGCTCTCTAAAAGTATGTTTGGCCAATACATGGACACAGGCTTCGGGCTATATACGAACCATTTGCATTGGAATTAGGAGAACTATTGTGAACGTAAAACGGAAAAAACGACTTCCTTCCTAAGAGTGCAGTTAACTACATTTTTGTCCTTGTAAAGCTGAAATCAAGGGCTTGACTAAAACAGAATGCAGTCATAAAAAATAGTTTTGAAAATGCGAGACTTGCCGGAATGCCAGGATGAATAATAATATATTAATATGCGCTACACTATAAAGTTGCTAAAGTTGGGTTGCTTCTCATTAAGCTAATGCTAATCACTAATTAAGTTGTTTCTGATATTGTGGAGACTGTGGGAGACATAAACAATATAAAATTGCAATTTTAGCCTTAATATGGGAGAATGTAATCGATATATTTGCTATTAGCAACTTATCTGGGTTTGGTGGAACTTTGGAGGATGTTTTCCTCTTTATCACTCCTGTAAATGATATTGGTTGTCCTAGAAGTATTAGCATTTAGAATTCCAGGCAACAAAAACAATTCAATAATTCAAATATTCTATAAATCCTAATGAGGACATACATTTTAAACAAATAATTTGAAAGAAAAAACCTAGAGGAACAATGACAAACAAGAAAGAGAATAGGAAGCGACACCACGTCAATCACCTTTCGAAAGTTTATTGGCATATATCTCCTTCCAAAAAACTAAAACAACCACAAACAGTAATATAAATTTTCTGGTAAAACTAAAAGGTGGTAATTAGATCTAACCTCAAAATCTTACTGTTATCGTTAGCAAAATATTCATCAGTTAGAATGCGTCTAAAAACAGTTTGGGGCATCGAGAGTAATCTGTCTAATAAGCAGTTTCGACAGATCTTTATCTAGGTGCTCTAAACTCCTGAAACTTCGATCGAGTTTATGTCATAGAAGTGTTTAAATTATGCCACGTCTTGGAGTTTCCGCCCGATCCAATTCCCTAAAATGATTGACGGCATCTTGCGAAACACCTTGACGTGACTTTTATCTATGTGAGATAATTTAAATTTAAACTTTGCTACCTCTTACATCTTTACTGGGTAATAAGCTAATTTTGAATGTTCCAACTGACAAATTAATTTTGTACTTTGTTTTAAGGGAATACTGAATCTAAAAAGATTTGAGTGCAAAATACAAAAAAAAATTATTGCAAAATAGACGGTATTTCGATCACGGAATGCAATGAAATCCTTTGTGATCTTTGTCTAAATTTTCCTCATTCTAAACTTTCATTTTTTTCTCGATTTCCAGCAACATTGTTTAATTTAATTAACGGCGACCACGCTGTTCGTTTGTAGGTGTAGGTGTGACAGATATTCCGCAAGAGACATTACAAATATTTTTAACAGCCGAAGCGTAATTTAACGATTTTCTTAACGTAGTTGCAGTCGAAATCGAACAAACCTTACATTATTTTTCATTGCGAACGGAATAATAAAAAGGCGAACTGGGTCACACACATAGAACGAACAGAGCCATTCAAGACACATTTCATTTCAATTGTCTAGACAAGCTCCATAGAAACAACAAGAAGGATTTAAGCGTTGCAGATATTTTTCGCGCATAATTTAGATATTGTTTGTATGTTAATTGGTCGACTTATTTTGCAGGGTTGGTCGGTATATTGGCGTGAGAAAGAGTGGGCAACTAGTCCGACTGAAAAAATTAAATTTCTCGCTGCGGTATCTACTGGCTCGCTATACAATGCTGGTTAGAGGGAGAGTGACAATCTGCAGTTTTGGTTGACTTACAACATTAACCCTCACGTTTAAAAAAACATCTGATCTTCATATCACAGTGAAAGTTAAAAACCTACAAAACTACTGACGGAGGGTATGAAGCAATGGAAAAGATTTGGGTTGGGTTCTATTCATCGGTGAGCACAGAAAGCTACTTGAGAGCACCTCCCAAATTACTTGATGGGTCCGAGATTGTCACAAATTTAGGAGTGGGTGAATGGATACCCGCTTGCCTTAAGTTGTTTTCTTTTTTTCTGAGCCTGTATAACTATTTGAAGTGCTCTTCACAACATAAATACAAAATCACTAGAGCAACAATTACAACCATATCCTATTAGTGCATATCCAATTCGTTTGAGAAAGCTTGCTCAATTGATCGACAACCTAGAAATTTCGAGTATGCTTTGCCCATCGCAAGTTGATAATGATTATTCTAAGTAAGCTAATTCATAGACGCATGCCGTGTCGCAGATGGAAATCTATCCGAGTTGTGCCTTTCAAAGCAATTAAGCCATAAACCTTAGCCGTGAGCTACGAATATCGAGTGTGTAATTCAGTTTTCAGTTATTAAGTACTGGCAATTACGCAGGATGGCAACGGATGCCGTACACGAAGCTGCATGTCAGCGTAATCCGGAAATTCAGAGTTGAATTCAAATCTCGCGTTAGACAGCATATTGGTACCTTAAATCGCTCGATGCGGTTTCGGCGGTAGATCTTTTCAAATTTAAAATAAATCCCAATCGAACGTAACTTGGTGTATTTCATATTACATGAGGCTTTAACTTTTTCCTGTCTTTTCAAATTTTATACTGTTTGGGGAAATTTTTATCCGCTTAGAAGTAGTTTGTTTTAAATCAATGTCGACGAAATAAATACTTCCAAACTTCCGCAATTAAACGATATACGCACAAGTGAAGCTTTGTTCTTTTTTACACTCCTTCATGATAAGGTAAGACAGCTAAGAGTTATTTAGGTATTCGACTAGATGTTTTCTTAATTGTTTTATAGCTCCTTTTGCAGTCATATTTGTCATCTGAGGAGATATTATCATAGTCGTAGTTTATTCAGCGGAACCAGCAACGAGATTACTACTTAATAATAATAGCATTTGTTTTTGTACCAACAGAGAGCGTTAGCGAATATCATCCTTTATGTCTAAACAAGGCACGTAGACACTACTACATTAATTAATGAAAATTTGGTAAAACTATAACATTGATAGCGACATACGAATAATCTTCTGTGTTAAATATGTACTTTATACCAATTCTCATTTACTGCATATATGAATTACTAAATCTAAGCTTTATCGTAACAAGTCCAAATCGAAGGTTTAAAAGATATGCTACAATATGATATATATCAATATTATGGAAACTGTGACGACGATAAGACCTAAAGATATTTACCGTTAAAACGTATTTAACCATGACGAGCCATACGCTACACCATACTACAATCTTGCTCACTAAACGCAAGGAAATGGAGGATTGACATAAGTACCTTCAGGTTAAAGATATCAAAACTTTGAGTGGTAAAACATGATAAAAAGTTCACCATCGTATTTTTTATGTTTTTTCCAATATAAATAGCCTTCAATGCTAAACTATTACGGACGTTGATTCATTTTGCAATTTTGAGATGGACATTTACTTGGAGCTCGTAGTAACGGTTCGACGAACGAAGGCACTAATCTCCGAAACTTGTAATTACACACCCAAGACGAGTTTATAAATTGGTAACCTTAGCGCAAGTTTGTAACTCGTTGTGCATACACATGTCTAGTTTCAAAGGCAAATTTATGCGGGCCAGAAGTTTAAGGCCGCAAATGTGTCAAAGAGCAGTCACTTTGGTTACGGACAGTAACCGCTTTGAAGTGCAACGATGCCGACGGTCTGGCAAAGTGTGATTTTTTAATTGTTGTTTTCTGGTCAATGCGGGATATCTCAGATAAGGATGTGCGATACTGCAATGCTACTTTTCTGAAAATAAAAATATATATTTCTCCGAATTATGGAGTAAATATGTATTCTATGGACTGAAAGTTCTGTCAATTTGGTACTAAAAAAAACAAATTATGACAAACTTAAAGACTATTTGCAAAATGAAATGGGAAAATTAACCCAGACTAGTAAATAGAAAAAATAAAATCATAGAAACAAGAATAATAATAATACTAATACTAATCGACATAAACAGCTTATAATTTGTGTTTATTTAAAATTTCTGAATTTTTTCATTTTGAAATACAATACCCATAAACGAAATAAAAAGTTTGAAAATTATGTTAAAAAAGTTTCTTGCAAATTGTATTTTGAACACTAATAGAGTCAAACATTTTTGTTCAACAGTACACGATGTGCCGTTTTTGAATCTTGGTCCTTTTAGAATCGCGTAAACTGCTCAACAAAGAGCAGAGGTAGTAAGTAAATTATAGTCCACCTTCTTTACTAATATTGCCAATAAAAAATAAACTTAATCTCTTGGCGATGAAAACGTATAAACAGTTTCAGTTCTATTTTGAATGTCATTGTGTTCTCGGAAGCGGAAACAGATAGGGAGTAATCCAAATTAGGAAGAAGTTCGTCAAGGGATTGCCGCTATGTATTATAGTATTTCATTGTTTAATGATTTGCTTTACAAAAGCACACCTCAAAATAAACAAATTTTCAATTTCTCTGCTTCTCTTTTGAATAGTTCCGAAAAAGTACTGGATAGCCGTTATTTATGACAAAAGTTCGCCAACATCTGCATCACATAGAACCCCAGGAACGTCCGGAATATTGGAGATTTTGTCAAAAGGAATAGAAATTCCTTAACAATAACTTGAAATCAAGGTACCAGTGCAGTTCTTAAATTGACACCTTATCGGAGAGGAGAACCAAAAACCGTACCACGAGGGTCGATGTTAGGTCTATATTTGTTTGGAACCTTTTTTTACGAATTAACGCAACACACGGTCTCAATTAAGACTGTAAGTTTTCCAGATGACACAATTTTCACTGCCTTTCTAATCACCTGCATATCAATGATTTCAAATTATTTTTTTCGATAATTAATTTTCTTTTTTCGTCTAATAGTCCTCACCAAATTTATGTTATTGATAAATTCTGAGTGAATACGGTCATCATCAATATATTTCAGTCAGAATGTTAGCATGAATAGAAAAATGTTCCAGATATGTAGATAAGTTACGTATAGGAAAAAGCATATTAGAAGGCATAAAAGGAGTGTGCATATGAAAATGTAATCTGGACCAGTTACTGTTGAACAATTCTGATTTTGTGAATATTTGGTTACCTATTATATACCTAGTCAGTAGGTCCCAAAGTTATTTGCTAATCGCATTACTAACTTAGTAGATTCCATCAGCGGTCGTATATAGCGACAAAGGTTGTTCCATAAACAATAAAGTCAACGGGCTTATTAAACCTCAGTTATATTGTGCTATAGACAATGTAGTCCAAACAATAACACCGTTGTTGTAAAAATTCAACTTATTATTGTTTGTTATTCCGCGGGCGCGTGTGGATATAAACGTCAATCAGTTTTATTTAAATTCAGGTGTCGCAAGTGCTGTGGTGCGAAAGACGTATCGTCGCTGCGAATGCAAATTATCCTAACGAAATATGAACCCGTTTAATGAAATTTGAATATGTATTTTCCGAAAAATTCAAACCATCTCGGGCGTGAAGCACCAGTCACTCAAATCGAAGAAGAAGTTTAAAAAACATCGTCGGCGTACGATATACAGAGTGCTTTAAAAATTGGATGACGCTATAGGCTTCGCAGCCTAAAATGAGTCATATATTGATTTTTATGGTTAGTTAATTTTTCATTTTGTCAGAAACACCTTTGAAAATTGAGATGAAAAATTTAAAAAAATACTGGAATTACAATAGCATTCTATCGTAGAATAGAAAATCAATTTTAATTTATCAAAGTCTTAACCAAAAATATGCAAGCTGTTTTTAAAAGCATTATTTACATATCCTTTGATTCTTTTGCAAATTTGCATCTATAAATAAAATGGAATATTGATAAATAGCTCAAGCATGAAGAACTAAAAAAAAAATTATTTGCATGCAGATGACCACTACATAAAAAATAAAATATTTAAACATAAACACTATATTTCTTCTTCTTATAGAAAATTATTAACTTAATATTAACGATATAATTTAATCTATAATATTATTCAGTTCAGGTGTATTGTCGCATTGATTATGATACTGTCAAAAATAACTAACCAATGACGTACAATAGACTTAATATCGGGAAAATTAGACCCAGGAATCTTAGTTCAGCAGTATTTAAAAAACTTTCGACAAATGTAAAGATTTCCCTAGTCATTTTTCCTGCAAGACTGTGTGTACCTCAAATGTCTATCTGCCTTTCTGCGTATCACAACAGTTCCCTAAAGTTGGTTCTATTTTTTTTTTGTCTGCTGTATTTCTTTATTTTATAGGAAGTATTGTTTTTATTGGGTGTGATGTTTTTATATGACGTTTTCGATATACAATATTTTGTTTTTTCGTTCTAAATGTTAGTTGAAAAAAAAGTTACAATTTGAATTTTATTTAAAACAATGGAAATGGAAACAGCGACGAGAAAGCAACAATAACAAAAGACCTTGCTTGGTAACTTGCAGAGCTTGATAGTTTTCATTAACGTTGTGCTATTCGCTTAAACATAATTTAAAATGTCTACCACGAAAAGAAAAATACTTTAAACGCGAATCTTTAAAAAACAAGTGTACAACTACCTATTACCAACGATGAATTGTTGAACGCTACAGGTTCAAAATTCACCTACTAATCCAATTACGCCAGGGGACATCCTTTAAAAACATTTCATAAATGCTCCTTGAAAAGAATTTCGTACATTTCTCATTACTATGCAGGTGACGATGTTCTTCGAAAGTAACGTTAAGTTTTAGGACCTATAAAAGTCAGGCCACGAAGAATTATCGTTATCAGTCTATCTTCAACGACACCCGCTTAAATAACTAAACATGGCAGCAAAGGTACGTAACGGCTAAGCAAAAACAGTGTTAGTGCATCACAACAAGTTCCGAAACAGACCATAAAGCGCCTACAGTGTCGAATGGTAGTGTTATATTAAGCCTGGATATTCCGGACCGACCGTACGGTAGTGCTTAGATCGTAACGGATGATTTGTGATTCGCATAATGTTCATTACGATGCGACAAGTAACGAAAAATTTGGAATTCGAGAATTAAATTACGCCGGGTCTGTGTTACGGTTAATAGAAGTAGTATGTGCCCGGTTCATTGGTAGATTACCCATTACGGTATTTAGTTCCGAACACGTCATCAGTTTCGAACACGCGAATTTGAATTAATTTATGTTGTTTTGTCAAAAATCGAACGAAATTAATTACATCAATAGGAAGTGGTTGAGTGTAAATGGGTCAAATTAACGCACGGATTCACTGGGCAAATAAAATCCGAACAGATTTTCAATTTTACTGTTCGGCGTGAAGCTTTGGAGCTTGTTTCAAATTTAGTTTTTTTAATTCAAAAATCAATATTGCACTGACTTCCTTACCACCTTACCACCTTACCTTATTTAGGTTTCCTTTAAAAATGCTCACTTAAATAGTCAATAATATTTTGGATCACAATAACAAGAGCTTATATTTTTTAAATTCAAATGGAGTTTAATTATTTTTTATACAAATTTTGGATTTTTCCTACGTGGGTTTTTGCTGAGTCGAACTTGCTAATGTTTCGCCAATTATTCAGTTGGCTTCTTCAGAGCTTGACTGAATTTCAGCGAAACGCTAGTCCGACTCAGCAAAAACCGACGCAAGAGGACTGTACAATTTTTGTTTAAAGTATTACAGTAGCCTGTGGAAGTTTCTTTCTTTTAAATTTAAAAAGTTTTTAAATTTTTATAAATAGTGGCGTTTTTACATTCGTATTTCTGAAGATTTGAGCCGTTTGTTATCGAAACAAACTCTGATTTTCATTTAAATCACAATCATTAATAATAATGATGATAATAAACGGCGGCATAGCTGCATTTAAAAAAATTAATATCGCTTACTTCCGCAGCTTTTCGTGTTGGCAGCTCTTGTTGCTGTAGCCAGGGGTGGAGTGCTGGCCGGTCAGGCCGTCGTAGCAGCACCCCAGGTATTAGCCAAGATCTCCGATGACACGTTCGACCCTAATCCCCAATATTCTTTCGCGTACGATGTCCAAGACGCTCTAACCGGAGACAGCAAAAGCCAAATCGAGAGTAGAAACGGCAACATCGTTCAAGGCCAGTACAGTGTTGCTGACCCCGACGGTACTCGCAGGATTGTTGACTACACAGCTGACCCAGTTAACGGATTTAACGCTGTGGTTAGGAAAGCTCCGTTAGCCGTTGCTGCTCCTGTCGTTGCGAAAGCTGTCGCTGCTCCCGTAGCAGCTCCGGTAGTCGCTGCAAGAGCCGTTGCGGCCCCAGCACCCTTAGCCGTAGCCGCTCCCGCGCCTCTGGCGCTTCCCGCTCCCGCTCCGGTTGCTTACGCCGCCCCCGCACCAGTTTTATCTGCCAGGGCGGTAGCAGCGCCTTTGGTTGCTCAGCCCTTTGCTAGGGCGGCTCCCTTAGTGGCCGCTCCTCAACCCATTGCCTACGCGTCTGCGCCTTTGGCTTATTCAGCAGGACCTTTCGCGAGGATAGCGTCGCCATATGCCGTGTTATAAAAGATGACTGTGTCATGAGTGTTTGTATCTAAATTTAACTGTTATTTTGTACATAAATGATTAATATCAATTGCAAGTTGGGGTTTGTTATTTGATGAAAATATCCTATCAAATCATAAAGTTGTAAACAGTTCCTGCAATAACCAATAATCAGAGCACAATGGCTGATGCAAAAAAAGATCAGCAAATGAAAGAAGACTAGTGTATCGTGCTTAAAGGACTAGGCTTACACTTATCAATCATCCCATACAATCTTCGAGCACAGCTTGAGAAGCAGCTTTTTATTTTTGCTTGTGAATTTGGCTAAACTACGATCCAATTAACCACGGCAATAATATCATTTTCTCTGAAAGTAGGTGTCCGTCATTACGGCATATGATAGGTAGTAAGCCCGTTTTTTCTTCCTGGCGGGTTTGTAGTATGAAATTTTATCACGCGAATCAAATAACCGAAAATATATGTCTGTGGCAATTCGGCTGCACAGAAATATGCATAAATATATGTTACTAATTTTCATGTGCGGGTGACTCGCCCAGATTATAATCTAAGAAATCTGCATCGCGGAAAATGAAACTTTAGGAGAAGTTAGCCTAAGAACTAAGCGTCGAAAACGTTCAGTCACCTAATTGCGAAAATATATTTCGATTTCTGCCTAATTTTAAACAAAAGGACCATCGAAGGAGCGTCGCTCAAGAGCTGTTAAACGACATCAATAATGAGCCTGATCTGCTCAAAAATATTATAACTGGTGGCAAATCATGGCTATATGATTATGACGTCGAATCCGAAGCCCAGTCAATACCGAAAAAAGCTTGTCAAGTTCTATCAAACGTTAAGGTTTTGTTTACTGTTTTCTTTGATTATCGTGGCGTTGTACATCAAGAGTTCTTACCACAAGGTCGTACAGTTAATAAAGAGTCTTACCTTGAAGTTATGCGCCGTTTGCCAGAAGCAATACGAAGAAAACGTCCTAAATTGTGGGAAAACAATTCATGGATTTTGCTTCTCAATATTCCACCTGCTCACTCATCGTTGCTTGTGTCTAACTTTTTCACATTCACCGGATGTGGCCCCTTGCGACTTTTTCCTGTTCCAAAAACTCAAGAAACCCATGAAAGGTTTGGAACGATTGAAGAGATAAAGAAAAAATCGTTTGAAGAACTCAAGGCTATACCAGAAAGAGGTGATGAAGTGAAGGAGATGATTTTGATGAGTAATTAAATACTTTAAATACTTTTTGATAAACTTAAAAGTCACCTTACTTTTTGCACAGATGGTAGATAATAGTAAACGCGAAAATAATTTACTTCAATTTGTTACTCGTAAATCGGCTTTAAATTTTGTATAAATATTTGACAGTTCCAACAGGCCAAGTATTTTGTTCTTTGATACGCTTCACCTTCATAAAGTATTAATTTAAGTCAAACGACGTATTCGTGCCTTTGTAAATAAGGAAATTTTCGATTCGTAACTTGAAATTCAACAGTCATTTCTCAGAGGGGCCTATCGCCATAAAAAAACCTAAGGTTTCGTTTTCTTTATTTCAACTTTCGCGAGAAGGGTTCGTAGGCACTTGAGAAGACACCGTTTTAAAACTTTTTGTGGTGGAGCTTTTCCGACAAAAAAGAAGTCAACAAGCTTTTACAAAACCTTCACAGAAAGTGTTACCTATACCTTAAAAGACACTTTTTGAAGTGATGTTAAAACATCTTGAGAATTGAAACTGCAAATGAGAGTAGATAGGTTTGTCAGAAGTTTTATTTATCTTAAATTTACATCACGTGCTCGATCGAAAACAACAACAATATCCAACATTTGTATACGGAAATAAAGCCATATTAGCAGAGCCTAAATATAAATTTTTTTGGTTTGACGAGGTGGCATATGTTTTTAAACTAAACTGATAAATCTTAGAAACAATTTCATATTGATTGGACAGAAATCTAAACATGTCTTCTTTTTTTTATGGTGCAAATTATCATCAAAATTTCAAGTAAAAGTTATTCTTTAATAAGGGTAACGAGGTATAGTATTAGAGAAACGAACAGTCAGAAAGAAAAAAAGAAACACAAGAAATAAATCGCCAAGAGCTAATAGTATTTAGTTTTAAAGCAGAGTGAAATTCGAATCTTTTTTGTTTACTCCTTGCTCAACGTCTGAAAGCAAGGCAGTAAGGTGTGTTCCGAATATTTTCGGAAATAAATGTCGATAACTCCGATAACTTAACACATTTTAATAAATTTGGGCTTTGCGACCCCTTAGCTTGCGATCAGTTGGCTCCTTTTTTAACGATAGGCAATCCACCACCATAAGCATAACAATACAGAAGAAGGATGCGTGGCGTTTTGTCAGAGGAAATCTAAATTAGATAATTAGGAATGATTTAAAACTGGGAAATTCTTAGTGGAAAAAAGAAGTGAAATTTGAAAACGCATAACAAGGAGCTTTCGATTTTATTATAAAAACAATTTTTTTTTAAAACAGTAAAAACTAGACAGGGTCTTCAACAAAAATGAGTCTTTTACAATTGCTCCTTACTCAAATATTTTTGTAGAATTGTCGTAATTTTAGTCACTTTTGAAGAAGTGAGTAGGTACTTTTTACAAAACTTCTAACAGGATGATTGACGAAACGTCAGCAATTATGACTCAACAAAAACCGACGCAGGAGGAATCCAGAAATTTTTTAAAAAGTATTACAGTAGCCTGTGGAAGTTTCTTTGAAAAATTAAGCTAGTAGGTATTTCAACATTAAAAAATTGTCACCTCCGACATTTCATAAACAATTAAGATGGTTGACAAATTTAGCTATTAGGCTATTAAAAAATATAGTTTTTAATTTTTTTATTATTATTTTTTTAAGCTAATAATAACATGGGAAGCATTCACAGTCAACTTCTGCGGTAACATCTCAAATAAAATTATATTGATATTTTGTTAATTTTGCGGTGACTAGAATATTTAATGCTTCTTCCCTACTAATACACTGTTATTCGGGCTTCTCTAATCTTTCATAAAAATCCTTTTATACTTTTAGCATGTTCTTGATGTTGTCCTAAAAAGCCTACGACAAACTGGGCATCTTTAGATTTAAATTGTTCCTGCAGCAAAACGTATATGTTCTCCTGGAAAATTTCGGGCATAAATCGTATTTCTCCATTTTTGGCGCTCACTTAGAGAATAAAAACGAATTTTTTTTTGTGGAAATGCACTACATTTTTATTTTAAAATCATTTCAGATGCACAGACAGTTTAACTAATTTTACATTCTAAATACCCGTATAAAAAATAAAATTAATAAAAGATATCCAACCCAACGAAACCTAACCAAACTAATGCAGATGATTAAAAAAGCACTTACACAGAAAAACTTCATTATTTTCTGTGAATCATGGCTTCGAAATACTATAACAGGATAAATCGTAAATATGTACTACTATAAAATAATAATGCTAAACATATATAAATATTTTTTCCATAACTGATCTCAGCTAAACGAAAATTGGGCCTAATTATTCAGGGTGTCCCAATTGCCATGGGCTACTATGATTATCTTGGTAACTATAAGAACTACAAAGTTGGTCAACTTCAAAACTAACCAAATTGAAGACCTTCAAAAATACAAAAAAATGTCCCTTATGAATTTTTTTGTAAAAATTATGCTTTTTGAGATTTCAAAAAACCCCCGTAGCTCGGTACAAAATATTTTTTTCTTAATATGAAACCATATTTTCAATATACCCCACAAACCGTACATCTTATCTCATTTGACCATATGTTATAGTTATCGAGATAGCAATAATGACACATGACAATTGGAACATCCTATGTAATACAGTGCTCGCGGTAAAGTTTGCATCATATGGCAACTATGTCTATCTTAAGATGACTTTGTGAAAAAAAATATGGTAAAATTCCTAAAATAAAAAAAAAATGCTTTGAAGATGAGTAAAAATACCTAGTTAAAAATGGAAAAAAATTACAAAAACTTTTAAAAAATATTTTTCACCATATAATACAAACATTTTGCGTAAGCTCTGTATATACATATCTTATAAATACCTTTAGGATGTGTTTTTAAAAACTCAAAAGAGTTGTCTAACCATTTCTTATTTTCCTCCACGAACCGTGACTCGACACTACAGGATTTGGTTAGTTCTTCTTCCACTTTTTTATCCCCAAGAATGTTCTTTTACTTTTTTAATGGCTCTTGTGTCATTTTTGAATTCTATATTGGCATCGTTTAATATCAGAAATAAGTCCCGATTTGTTTTAATCAAATTCATATTACATCCAGTTTTCTAAATAAAAATTGCCGTTGTTATCTTGGTAGCAGATCGTAACAGATAAGTGTTATATTTTCGTCATCGTAATATTCCTGCAATTATATTGAGATTATTGGTAAAGCGAATCCTGTCGAATATCAAATTTTGTAAATACAAAAAATTAGATGTTGATATATTTTTATCTAATTTGTTCATTTTATTATTACATTTCTGACAAAAAAGACGACTAATTTGTGTAAAAATTTCAAAAAAAACCTTAATCAGTATTAGGCAATCATATAACAAAAATATTTACTAAACTCAACATTTCATACTATACTTTTTTAATATTTACTTTTCAATGGCATTTCATTTAAATAATAGTAAAATTTGTAATTAGACACACTTGTAGTCAAAATTTAACGCATCTATCACCCAAAATTACAATAAAATGATAACAAATGGACTTCTTTCTAAATAATTTTGTGAATTTAATTCTAAAAATATAAACAAAAGTTTTTGGTCTGTCTCTTATATTATACTAACCCGTTCAGCTGTGCGACGATGTAATTTTGGGCTCTTCAAAAACATTGTTAAAAAAATTATAAAAATAAATAACGAAATTTCATTACAATGTTAAATATCATTTCGAATAGCATAGGATAATTGATAACCTATGAAATACGCTCATTAACGACTTCACATTTATTAAAATGCTTTAAGCCCCCACCACTTTCCTTTCCGAATACAATACAAATCGGTTGATCGTATTATTAAGCAATTGAACTTGGAAAGGGTTTGCAAAGCCGTTA